ATAAAGAAAGCTGAGCGCTGACGTATCGATGCTTTTGGAACTATGGTGTTGGAGAAGACTCTTGAGAGTCCCTTGGACTGCAAGGAGATCCAACCAGTCCATGCTAAGGCAATCAGTCCTGGGTGTTCACTGAAACACTTATGTTGAAGCTGAAACTCCAATACTTTGGCTACCTGATTGAAAGAGCTGACTCATTTGAAAAGACCCTGATGCTGGGAAAGATTGAGGGCAGGAGGAGAAGGGGAGGGCAGAGGATGAGATGGTTGGATGGCATCACTGACTCAATGGACATGGGTTTGGGTAGACTCTGGGAGTTGGTGATGGACAGGGAGGCCTGGCATGCTGTGGTTCATGGGGTCGCAAAGAGTCGGACAGGACTGAGCGACTGAACTGAACTGAAATGAATGAAAAAAACAAATGCCATATAGACAATAAACCTGAGAAGGCCAGTGTTGCCATCTTACTATACTTCATTCCATTGCCTTTACCTATATATATTGTGATATAATTGACATATAATATAGCTATATTTTTTAACCAGGCAAAGGAGAATTCAAATCAAAGATTGTCACAAAAGATAAACACTTTTCATAATGAAAAGGGGGGGCAACTCAACCGAAAGACAAAACCACAATTGTGTGTCTACCTAATAAATACAGCTCCAAAATATAGGATATGCAAGTTAACAGAATTAAAAAATGAAATACACAATATCACAGTTGCAGTAGGATATTATCATATTCTCTCAGCAATTGCTAGACCTAGAAAACACTGCAGACAATACACAGATCTAAGGAACAGCACCACCCTTCTTGACTTGACTCCCAAACAGAGGACAGTACACCCTACAACAGTAGAAGACACATTCTATTCAGGTGACATGGGACACACAGATGGACCTAAGACACACCACACGGTGGACTCACACAAGTCTCAACTCGTTCGAAAAGGTAAAGGATCGCACAGAATATTCTGTGACCATAACAAAACTGAATTACAAATCAATAACTGTGGGGATTTTTACAGAAACTCTAAGTATCTGAAAGTGAAAGTGTAAGCTGAATTNGCCGCCGCCGCGCCCGCGCCCGCGCAGGTGGACCTGCAGCTGTCCGCGCCCGGCGGCCGGCTCTCCCTGCGCTGGCTGTCCCGCCTGCCGCGCTCGCTCGGGCCTCTGGAGTGGACCTTCCGCCTCGGGCTGCTCGGGCCTGCGGCCGGCGAGCGCCACACGTTGCCCCGTCGGGCTCTGCACCGCACCCGGCGCTCCTACCCGGGATTCGTGGCCCGAACCAAGTGTCCCACGGACGGACCCACCCCGGTCGTCTTAGAAGCTGTCAGCCCGAACAGCTCGGAACCCGCTGAGTCCTCGGTGTCCTGTCAGGTATCCCGACCGTCGCTCTGTAAATTGGACCCCGTGCGGATAAATAGGAACGACGATAAACCAGTCCGACTGACCAGGAACATGGGAGAAACCTTAAATGCAACAGTCATCCTCTTCTGTCCACTCCAACAGTACTATGAGCGGACGTGGTATATCTTTCCCGTGCCCTATGTAGGAGCCGTGCCCGACTGGAATAAACCTATCCTTAACCCACCGGTCAGGTTAGGTAGATCTGTAACAGAGTTGATTATACCCCCATATGCTTTACCTTGGGGAATATATCTGTTTAATTTAACGGTGGTTGTCAGAACACGGGATCCACGGGTTCCAGGGCAGAACGACTCAGATAGCATCTATGTCGTCATTTATAGACGTCCCCTGAATGCTGTTATTTCAGGGCCTTCCAACATCACAGTAAATTTCACAGATGGGGTGACTCTCAATGGAAATATGTCTTCTGATCCAGAAGAAACAGACCCTCTAGAGAGAGAGAGACTTAAGTTTCTCTGGTACTGTACCACAAACCCAAGAGACTATCATGGAAAAAAAATAACAGTGATAAGCAAGGAAGTTTGTCTCCCGGAGCAGGTTGATCTCAAGTGGACATTGGCCTCTGGTCCTATTCTCACACTTTCTCCAGGAACACTTCAAGGTGGCCGTGTATATTTTTTCAGGCTGGTGATCCAGAAGACCGGCAGGTCAGCATTCGCTGATGCAACACTGCACGTGCTTCAGGGAGCCCCGGTAGCAAGCATCTCCTGTGTTGAGAACTGTGACCGGGTTTTGGTTTTATCAGAGAGGTTCTCGTTGTCTCTGGATTGCACAGGTTGTACACCAGGCCGAGATGTCTACTGGTGGTCCATTCTGACGTCTTCAGGTCAGGAGGTGCCATTTGACTGGTCTGGGCAAACGTCAACAGGACGGAATGGTGCTTACATGTCTATAAAACCTTTTGCTTTCTGGAATTTCAGGGAAGATAAGTTTTGGATTTCTCTAAATGCGGCAACTTGGAGTGGAGTCACCTTGGCCTTAAGGTATCCTTTCGTTATTCGCCATGTCCCAGTAACCACAGACTGCAAAATTGTTCCAGAGAAAGGAATTTCCTTCATTACAAAGTTTGTTGTCATTTGTACTTGTTTCAAGGATAGGAACATTGTTCTTACATATAAAATAATAGTTCCTGATGTACATGGTTTTGGTGAAATCAGTTCTTTGAAAGAGAATAACTTTGGGTCCGTCCTGTATTTGGGGAAGAATTGCACATCACCCCCTTCCTTTCTCCCTGTTGGTGTGTTGGACAGTCATTATGCCTTGAAAATAATTGTTCAGGCATATAATACCTCTCTGGGAGCTTTTTCTCAGGTTAACTTTTACGCCACTGTGCGGCCTCCCACTGACGTAAAGTCATCAACGACTGTGCTGGAGGACTTATCCAACTTCACCATGGGACCAAATTCCTCCCTGTCTACTTTGCTTCAACAGCAGGATTTTCTAAATGCAAGTTATTTAATATATGTAATAGCATCTGTCTTGAATAGCATGAAAACCGACTTAAATCTGCAAGCTGACAAAATTAAACTGAGAGAATACCTTTTCAATCAGACACTCATTCTTCCTATAAACACTTTGGTGAATATTAGCCAGGTGGTCATGGCTGTTACTAAATTAACAGAGAAAACCTCTGAGATCAATGCATTCTCTCAGAAACTGGCCACAGTGAGGACCTGGCAAGCAAGCCAAGCCCTCCAAGATAGTCATCAGAGAGATAAGAGCATTTCTTCTGAACAAATAGAAAGTGTGTGCACTGGAATATTAACAACCTTGTCTAACATCCTGAAACTGCTGGTTCATTATGAAGTCTTCGAAGAGCCTTTCCATGTGGTTGAATCTCTAGCAGACACGGTATTGGCTGTGAAAGTGCCAGAGAACGAGACCACTGCCTTGAGGACCTCCAACTTTAAAATGTATGTCAAGAAAACAGAAAAGTGGAATGTTACCAAGTTCTTCAGCACCCAGAAGCACTGTCAGAATTGCTTTTATCCCACCCTAAACGTGAACAGCATTCCTAGTCTGCCTGCCAACGCTCTGATTTCCACGATGTTTTGTGAATTTGTGGATGACCCTTTCCCTTGGCTAAATTATGGGGAAAACAGTTTGACCCAGGTGGTTGGATTCCGAATGACAGGAGTCGAGGCCACGGGTGATGTGATTGAGATCCCACCTGATGCAGTGGAAGTGTACCTCATCAGGAAAAACCTGAGCTTTGGAACTTTTAATCTCACGGTGGGACCCAGCTCAGAGCCTTATGCAGTGGATGAATCATTGACAAAGACGACAGGGGCATTTAGCTTTGTTGTGGACTGTACAGCAGGGAGGGACGTGTTGATCCACATCATGACAGAAGTGTCCGTGTTGTTCACGGTGTCTGTGTACGCGGGCCGTGAGATCACACCCAACTCTTTTATGACCAGCTACCTGGTGCCCCATAAAATCCCTCCAATTGCCAACGAGAGTGACCTGTTTGACCCGGAGTGTCCGGTGAAGGAGGCCCGAGTGGTCTGCCTCCCCGCGGCCCTGCTGCAGGTCATAGCTCAGCGAACCGATTCCTCCGAGTGCACCGTCACTGTGCTTCTACAGGCACCTCGTTTCGTCCTGAAACCCAATAAGAAGTTGGTGAGAATTTCTGTTTTCAGCATTACATGCTTGGACATGTTTGGGATCCAGAGTGACTGGAGAGAAGATACCTGCATTGTTGGAGAGAAGACCACTTGGCAAAGAGTGCACTGTATCTGCAAGAACCCACGGCGGGCCAAACGGCAGCTGGATATCATCAAACAGGCCAACCTTCACCTGCGTACCCACTATTTGACAGCCAACGTGATCGTGGTCCCTAACCCTGTGGATTTACAACTGGAGGCCATCAAGAACATCACCCAAAACCCTGTGACCCTCTTCACTGTACTTCTCATTTTGCTGTTGTACTTGGTCCTTGCCTTCTGGGCCTTGCACAGAGATGAAACGGACCAGTATCTTAGGAACCATGTGATAGTTCTGCTTGATAATGATCCTTATGATAACGTGTGTTACCTAGTCACTGTTTTTACAGGAAGCCGTTGTGGTTCTGGGACCAGGGCCAATGTCTTTATCCAACTGCATGGAACCAAAGGTAGCAGTGATGTGCACTGTTTAAGCCACCCACAATTTACAACTCTCTACCGAGGAAGCATCTGCACTTTCCTCCTAGCGACGAAAAAGGACTTGGGGGACATCCATTCCCTCCGTGTGTGGCACAACAACGAGGGCAGGTCCCCTGAATGGTATTTAAGTAGGGTCAAAGTGGAGAATCTGTTCAGCCGGCACATCTGGCTCTTCATGTGCCGAGAATGGCTTTCTATTGACACCTCTCTGGACCGAACCTTTCACGTAATCCCCCCAGATAAGCCTCTGAAGAAAATGGACTTTTTCCTCATAGATTTAAATTATAACCTGGGGAAAAACCACTTGTGGTTCTCTGTTTTTTCTGGTGTCATTTCTGCACCGTTCAATAGGCTCCAGAGGCTGTCCTGTTGCTTAGCCATGTTGTTGTCCACACTTCTGTGTAATATCATGTTCTTTCATCTAGACAAGAAGATCGAACCAGAGCCACAGGAGCAGAGGTACATCAGGTCGATGGTGATCGGATTGGAAAGTGCCTTTATTACCCTCCCTGTGCAACTAGTGATCACATCTTTGTTCATCTATTCCCAGAGGAGACCTCTTGTATCTCTAAATGAGGTCACTCCTCGGAAGCATCCTTTGAAGCCAGCTGCAAATGAACACTGGGAAGAACGGCTGGGAAAGTGGCATGCATACGAAATTAACAAGACACACTCCCAGGAGCCTGAGAAGTCTGATAGTCATCCTGCAAAACCCAAGTCTTCTGTTGAGGTCACCTCTAAAGGACAGCCCCCGTCCAAGCAAGCAGAAAGGAAGGTCTTTGGCACCCCAAGGGAGATATCAGGCACCCAAAGCAAGGTCTCCAGGCCCCAAATAGATGTGTCCAGGACACAAAGAAATGTCTCTGGCACCCCAAGAAAGGTCCCCGACACCCCAGGAAAAGCCTCTGGTGCCCAAAGAAAGATCTCTAGGGCCCAGGAGAAGAATAAAAACACCAATAACCCAAATGTTTTAGACAATCAAAGCATTTCTTCCGAGGATCTGCCTCCCCAGCCAGGTTCGAGAGCCCTCAAAGAGAAGCCCAGGGTGGTCCTGCCAAGGTGCTGCGTTAGTGTGGCCTGGCTCTTAGTTTTTCTCACCTGTGCAGTATCCTCCTACTTCATCATATTTTATGGACTGACGTACGGCCTCGAAAAGTCAATAGCATGGCTGTTTGCATCGTTCTGTGCATTCACCTTGTCAGTCTTTCTAGTGCAGCCATCTAAAATCATGCTTACGTCAAGCTACAGGACAAGTACAGCCAAGTATTCGAAGAACCTTTCATGGATCAGCAACTATCACTTCACTGAGATCAAGTTGCAAAACCTCTGGAAGGACCCGGAAGAAATGGACAGACGCCACCAGTTCGTCATGGGGCTCCGAAACTCAAGGATGTACCAGCCTCTCACCCAAGATGAAATCACGATATTCAAAAGAAAGAAGAGGATCAAGAGAAGAGCTTTCCTGTTCCTTATTTACATCCTCACTCACTTCATCTTTCTGGCTCTCTTGCTGAACCTAGTCACCATCCTACGCCCCACTGACAGCTTTTACTACAGTCAGTTTATTCGTGACCAGTTCTCTGTGGATCTGGCAGGAGTGACCAGGCTGGAAGACATCTATCAGTGGCTGAACAGGGTGCTGTTGCCTCTGCTCCACAATGACCCAAATCCCACGTTTCTGCCTGACAGCTCCTCTAAAATCCTTGGCCTGCCACTGATGAGGCAGGTGAGGGCGCAACCTGGGGAGATAACGTGTCTGCCGGCCAAGAAATTTGTGGAGGGCAGCCTCAAAGGAGAGATTCGCTGTCACCCCGAATATGGGATGCACCCAGAAGACACAAAAAACTACCCTGGGTCGTGGAATAAAGTTAGTAAGCGGGACACTGACAAGACGACCAAAGGGTTTACTTATAAGCCTCCAGGGAAGAGATGGGCGTACTCTTCCTATGGGCAGCTGCATACCTATGGCTCAGGAGGGTACGCCTTCTACTTTTTCCCAGCAGAGCAGCAGTTTAATTCCACACTGAGGCTCAGCGAACTCCAGAAAAGCCATTGGCTGGATGAGAAGACCTGGTCTGTGATTGTGGAACTGACCACCTTCAATCCAGACATCAGTCTCCTCTGTAGCATCTCGGTCATCTTCGAGGTCTCTCAGTTAGGTGTTGTGAACACTAGTCTGAATGCTCACTCCTTCTCGCTCACTCATTTCAACAGAAAATACTCAGAAGAAATCTACTTGTATGTGGCCATCTACCTTTTCTTTCTCGCCTATATTGCCGATGAGGTCAATGTCATCACGGATGAAAGGACTGCCTACGTGCAAAGTGTATATAATTGGCTCAGCTTTGCTCTTAAATTCTTCCTTGCCTTGTTGATCGTGCTCTTTTTCAGGAAGCACTTCTTGGCCATCGGTGTCGTTCGGGCTTACCGGTCAAACCCCGAGGATTTCATTCCCTTTCATCCAGTGGCTCAAGTGGATCACACCATGAGGGTGATTTTGGGTTTCCTGGTATTTCTGACGATCCTGAAGACGCTCCAGTATTCCAGGGTCTTTTACGATGTGCGTCTGGCTCAGAGGGCCATCCAGACTGCCCTTCCCGGCATCTGCCACATGGCATTGGTGGTATCCATGTATTTCTTTGTCTTCATGGCATTCGGCTACTTGGTGTTCGGGCAGGACGAGTGGAACTACAGTGACATGATCCACGCCACCCAGACAATAGTTTCCTACTGTGTCTCAGCTTTTCAGAACACGGAATTTTTCAATAACCGGGTTCTTGGTGTCCTCTTCCTCTCATCTTTCATGCTGGTGATGATCTGCATATTGATCAACTTATTTCAGGCAGTGATTTTGTCTGCCTACGAGGAAATGAAGCAACCTGTATACGAGGAGCCCTCGGAAGAGGCAGAAGCCATGACTTACCTGTGTCGCCGGCTAAGATCTGCTTTTTGCTGCCTGTGCTCCAAACCCAGGGCGCAAGACGAACCCAAGTTCCTCATCAACATGGTGTACGGGCAGCCAGAGAAGAACAGCCGCCGCTACCTGGGGCTGAAGACCAGAAACATTAATGGGAAGAAAATGGTCTACCTCGTCGTGTGATCCAGGACAGTCTCAAGACCCACAGGCAGGCTTCTCCCCAAGGCTCAGTTTCTGGGGTCAAGGAATGTTTAGTGGCTCAGTTGTGTGTTCTATCCATGTCCTTCACAGTGCACACCCCCACCTCTGGACACGTCTGCAGTGGTGGCCTCCGCTCTTGGGACTTGAAAGGAGGGTAAAGGGCAGTGTGGCCTCTGCGGAGAGAGCAGGGCGACCATCTGTGAATCCTGGGTTCATTTCCCTTTTTCTTAGAAGTTGCTGTCTTTGGCACCGACTGCCGTTTAGAGGGTTAGAGACCTAAATTTGGGGGAGGGAGCTATAAGGGCCCCCAGCCTCATCTCAGCTTGTCAGAAGCAGCAGGTGAATGCTCCTGCTGTGCCGGTCCCCGTCTCCCCGAGGCTGGGAGGCCAGAGCTAGTGGTTCCGGGCAGACCCCAGGTCCCTCAGTCCTGCTGGCCCTTCCCTTGCTGATGGGACTGCAGAGCCTCTCCGCCTCCTTACTCCCCCCCCCCCACACACACACACACTCCAGCTGGGCAGGGCTGGAGGGGCCTCATGAGGGGTCCCAGGAGTGGCCCTTTTGCCTGGAAATGGAGGGATGTGGACCAGGGCACAGCAATCTGAAGCTTCCCATCTGCTGCTTAAGGCCATTGCAAGTTATGGATATACAATTTAGCAACATGTTTCTGTCTATGAAACATGCCTTTTCTGAGACAAGTTATGTGTTTGAGTTGAAGGATTCACACTGAAAGGTATTAAATATTCCATGTAATGTGTGTTGCCATATATACTAGGATTTGGGCTTTTGGTTATTGATGGCCTGGTGGCTTGTTTATAACACATTAGTTAAGAAAATGGTGGAACCACTCCTGTATTTTCACCCTAAAGCATGTTCCTTTACGTAGATGCCACTTTAAGCTTGATGTGAACTAAATGTACGATGTTTTCCATGAGGCCTGCAGTGATTTCTGTGATAGGGTGGGTACACAGATGGCGCCTGCCCTCCAAATCCAGTGCCAGCAAAGCGGGCCAACCCACAGGTCGTGGCCGCTTTCTCCCAGGTGTTTGTCACTTATCACCCCTGGAGAACGGAATGGCTTCACTCCAGTATTCGGGCCTGGAGAATTCCATGGACAGAGGAGCTTGGCAGGCTACAGTCCATGGGGTCGCAGAGTTGCACACAACTGACCAACACTTTCAATTTCCCTTGGCACCCCAGAGGTGCTGATCTGCAGTGCATGGCCATGGCACTTCACACCTTGGCAGGTATGGGCGCATGCACAGGTATAGGCTTTCCATCCCTTCCGCTCTGTTGTGGGGGCAGTCTTCTTCATCAGATGAGTAAATGAAAAGGCTTTGTGACTTGCCCAAGGCCACCCAAAGAGTTAAGAGTCAGAAGCTCAGTTCTGGGTTTTCTCTCTACCCTGGTGGGAAGTCCCAGGTGTGCCCAGGTTCTGGCCCACTGTTCTGAGTGAAGTTCATGTTCATAGTTAGCACCTCCCATTAGCACATGACTTCTGAATTGGTTGAGAGCGTGGAAAACTGGGGCTAACTCTTTATACTGGGTTCTCGTCAGGTGCACTCACCCATGGAACACAGAACTGTGGAGTGTAAGCCCTGGCAATGTGCAGGAACTGTGGGCCAGGCTCCCATTAGCGGCTGGGAAGACCGACGGCAGATGAGGTGGTCTCAGGTGCTCTTTGGGGGAGGGTGGGGAGAGCCCAGATATTCTCCCCAAATTTAGGCATCAGCTCAAGTCTCCACCCCTTCTGATGCTGTGGGAGGCCCAGGGTCACAGTATTTGGGCTCCCTTCCCTGGAAGTAAGCCCCCACGTCAGCACTGCATCTCATGATTCAGAGGCGTGACAGAGTCAAAAAGGCAGTGGCCGACTTGGCAGTCCAGGAACAAGGCTGGGGCTGGGGAGCCCCTGAGACAGGATCAGGGACGGCAGCTGAATGCCCTGGGGAGACACGACTCTCCACTTGTGGCTACAGGGAGAAGTCTAGCAGATTCGCGGGGCTGTTCCCATGTGTACTGGGAACGAAGGGAGTGCCAGGGTCCTTCCAGGGTCAGCAATGACACGTATTCTTATAGTTTCGAAATCTGAGATGCCAATTATAACATTGTCAGTGTGGAAATGAATAAAGGGAAACCTCATGAAAATGGAGTCGGGAGGCCAGATGTGGGGTCTCATGCATATCCCAGTCAGGTCAACACAGGTCCCAACTGGAAGACAGGTATTGGCAGGAAGTGATGCAGGAGGAAGAAAGATTTTCTCCTTGCCTGGCAACTGCGTAGCCAGTGAGAGGCTGTCACAGTTCAGCCAGTGAAAAGCCCCTCCAGCTACGCCTTCTCTGTTAAAGACGCCTCTGTTCTGCGTTCTGCCAGACTTACATGTCTGAAACTGCACTTCATTGCTGCTTCTGAATGAGTCCATTTTTCTGGTAAAAATAACTGGCCGTTTTATTGTTTTAAGTTAACGTCAGGAAAAGAAAGTACCGAGAAAACTATAAATTCAGGTTTCTTTAGAAAGTCATTTTCCTGGACATGGCATCAGTTTCTAAAAGAGTCTTTTAAGATGCCTTTGTTCTTAACCACGCTTCCAGGCACAGGGCAGATATTTTTCAGAACAAGTTGGAAATAGTTATTCATGCCTCCCGAGTGTGCATTGCCCAGGAAAACAAGATAGACGTTCTTGGATTTGTTTTTCACTCAAAGGAGTGGAACAAGTTTTGTATGCAGAGAGATGACACCGTCTGAAGCTACATGTCCTTCATCTACCTCAAACTATTGTGTTGATTAAGAAGACTTGGATTGGTAAAGCCTGCTTCTGTGTGTATATTATACTCTTTAAGTTCAGTTCAGTCGCCCAGGCATGTCCGACTCTTTGCGACCCCATGAACCACAGCACGCCAGGCCTCCCTGTCCATCACCAACTCCTCGAGTTCACCCAAACTCATGTCCATTGAGTTGGTGATGCCATCCAACCAACTCATCCTCTGTTGTCCCCTTCACCTCCTGCCCTCAATCTTTCCCAGCATCAGGGTCTTTTCAAATGAGTCAGCTCTTCCCATCAGGTGGCTAAAGTATTGGAGTTTCAGCTTCAGCATCAGTCCTTCCAATGAACACCCAGGACTGATCTCCTTTAGGATGGACTGGTTGGATCTCCTTGCAGTCCAAGGGACTCTCAAGAGTCTTCTCCAACACCACAGTTCAAAAGCATCAATTCTTCGGTGCTCAGCTTTCTTTATAGTCCAACTCTCACATCCATACATGACTACTGGAAAAACCATAGCTTTGACTAGATGGACCTTTGTTGGCAAAGTAATGTCTCTGCTTTTTAATATGCTGTCTAGGGTGGTTATAACTTTTCTTCCAAGGAGCAAGTGTCTTTTAATTGCATGGCTGCAGTCTCCATCTGCAGTGATTTTGGAGCCCCCCAAAAATAAAGTCTCTCACTGTTTCCATTGTTTCCTCATCAATTTGCCATGAAGTGATGGGGCCAGATGCCACGATACCAGTTGTCTGAATGTTGAGTTTTAAGCCAACTTTTTGGAATGGGTGAATTTAACTCAGATGACCATTATATCTACTACTGTGGGCAGGAATCCCTTAGAAGAAATGGAGTAGCCATCATAGTCAAAGAGTCTGAAATGCAGTACTTAGAGGCAATCTCAAAAACAACAGAATGATCTCTGTTCGTTTCCAAGGCAAACCATTCAATATCATGGTAATCCAAGTCTATGCCCTGACCAGTAACGCTGAAGAAGCTGAACAGTTCTATGAAGACCTACAAAGACCTTCTAGAACTAACACCCCCAAAAAGATGTCCTTTTCATACTCTTAAATATTTACTTAAAAAATATACAACAGTTAAAGGCATTTTCTCTCTTGGCCATAAATTCAGTTCTCTAAATGCATGCTCCCTCCACCACCCTACAGAGGGCCAACCTTTCCTTTGAGCGAGCCAGAAGAAACCTCTAGTGTCTCACATTGTGGAAGACTTCACCTGGCTGCTGGATACACTGTCATATTCACTTTGTGAGATTTCACCTTGCTGCACACTTAGGAAGTATGTATTTTTTCTGTATGTATGTTATACTTTAAAGAGTTTACTTAAAAACTAAGGCCTGCTTCCAGCATTTCATTCAGCACTAAAAGCAAAATGCCAGTCTTTGGAGCTTAATTTTACTGGAAGAAATGGAGAAAGGGAAGAGTAAGGTTGTACTTAAGTGTGATGAAGTGCATAAAGAGTGAATCCTCCAGAGCACCCCCTTTTGTTGCTAGTAGCAATGCTTTGCTTTAGATTCTAATCTGCAGCCAATTTCTTATTTTTCAATTTTCAAATCTTTCTCAGTCTTCACTTAACTAAAAATGTATAAAATCAATAGAATTTCCAATGTTCTGCCTTTCCCCAGAATGTCATAGAATTGGAACCATACACTATGTATCCTTTACATATTGGATTCTTTCACTTAGTTATATATACGTGTCCTCCATGTTTTATCATGGCTTGATAGCTCATTTCTTTTTAGTGCTGAATAATATTCCTTTGTCTGTAGTTTATTTATCTATTGACCTACTGAAGGACATGTTGGTTGCTTCCAAGTTTTGGCAATTACAATTAGGAATAAAGCTGTAATAAACATCTGTGTGCAGGCTTTTATATGGAGATAAGTTCAATTCCGTTGTTGAATACCAAGGAGCACAACTGATGGATGATATGGTAAGAGTATGTTTATTTTTGTAAGAAACTGCAAAACTGACTTCCAAAGGGGCAGCACCATTCTGCATCCCTGCCAGCCGTGAATGGGAGTTCCTGCTTTCTGCACCTGCTGCAGCATCTGGTGTTGTCAGTGTTCCAGATTTTGGCCACTCTCATAGTTGTGCAGTGATATCTTATTATTGTTTTAATTTGCATTTCAATGATGATACAGGATGTGGAACATCTTTTCATATGCTTACTTGCCATTGTGTACCTTCTTTGGTGAGGCATCAATTTAATCTTTGGCCCACCCTTCACTGGGCTGCTTTTATTACTGTTGTTGACCTTTAAGCGCTCTTTGCATATTTCGGATAACAGTCCTTTATCACGTATGTCTTTTGCAAGTACTTTCTCCCATTCTATGGCTTGCCTTTTTCATTTTTTAATTGGAGGCTAATTGCTTTACAGTGTTGTATTGGTTTGTGTCATACAACGTCAATCAGCTGTAAGTACACGTATGTCCCCTCCCTACTGAACCTCCCTCCCACCTTCCACCCCACCCCACCCCTCTAGGTTGTCAGCCAGCACTGGCTTGAGCTCCCTGTCCTATACGGCAACTTTCCACTCACCATTTTATATATGGTAATGTATATTTTTCAGTGCTGCTTTCTCAGTTCCTCCCACCCTCTCCTTCCCTTGCTGTGCCCACAAGTCTGGTCTCTATGCCTGTGTCTCTATTCTTGCCTTGCAAATAGGTTCCTCAGTACCATTCTTCTAGATTTTGTGCATATACATTAATATACAACATTTGCTTTTATCTTTCTGACTTACTTCACTCTGTGTAACAGGTTCTAAGTTCACCCACCTCACTAGAACTGAGTCAAATTCATTCCTTTTTATACCTGAGTACTATTCCATTGTATACATGTACCACAACTTCTTTATCCATTCCTCCGCTGATGGACATCTAGGTTGCTTCCATGTCCTAGCTGTTGTGAATGGTGCTGCAATGAACGTTAGGGCGCACGTGTCCTCTTGAAATCTGGTTTTCTCAGGGCACACACATGGCTTGTCTTTTCATCCTCTTGATTTAACACCTATTTCACATGCAGTTTCTTTGGGGAAACGATTTTTTTCTAAAGCTTTATTAGATATTTTAAATACTTTTGGATTTTTTGTAAACTTTTCCTTTTATCAGTAACTGTTGTTGTTCAGTCCAACACTTTGCGACCCCGTGGACTCCAGCACACCCAGCCTCCCTGTCCTTCACTATCTTCTGGAGATTGCTCAAACTCACAACCATCAAGTCAATGATGCTACCCAAATCATCTAATTCTCTGTTGCCCTCTTCTCCTCCTGCCCTCAGTCTTTCCCAGCATTAGGATTTTTGCCAATGAGTTGGCTGTTCACATTAGGTGACCTAAGTACTGGCGTTTTAGCTTCAGCATCAGTCCTTCCAATGAATATTCAGGGTTGATTTCCTTTAGGATTGAATGGTTTGATGTCTCTGCTGTCCAAGGGACTCTCAGTAGTCTTCTCCAGCACCGCAGTTTGGACACATCAATTCTTTGGTGCTCAGCCTCCAGCTCTAACATCCATACATGACTATGGAAAAGCCATAGCTTTGACTATACAGAACTTTGTTAGCAAACTGATGTCTCTGCTTTTTCATACACTAAGTTTGTCATAGCTTTTCTTCCAAGGAGCAAGCATCTTCTAATTTCCTGGCTGTAGTCACCATCTGCAGTGATTTTGGAGCCCAAGAAATTAAAGTCTGTCACTGTTTCCATTGTTTCCCCATCTATTTGCCATGAAGTGATGGGACCGGATGCCATGATCTTAGTTTCTTGAATGTTGCGTTTTAAGCCAGGTTTTTACCCTCCTTTCACTTTCCTCAAGAGGCTCTTTTAGTTCCTCTTTGCTTTCTGCCATAAGGACGGTGTCATCTGCATATCTGCGGTTATTGATATTTCTCCCAGCAATCTTGATTCCAGCTTGTGCTTCATCCAGCCTGACATTTCACATGATGTACTCTACATGTAAGTTAAATAAGCAGGGTGACAATATACAGCCTTGACGTACTGTTTTCCTAATTTGGAACCAGTCCATTGTCCCATCTGATGCTTCTTGACCGGCATACAGGTTTCTCAGGAGGCAGATAAGGTAGTCTGGTATTCCCATCTCTTGAAGAATTTTCCACAGTTTGTTGTGGTTCACACAGTCAAAGGCTTTAACATAGTCAATAAAGCAGAAGTAGCTGTTTATCTGGAATTCCCTTTTTCTATGATCCAACAGATGTTGGCAATTTGATCTCTGGTTCTTCTGCCTTTTCTAAATCCAGCCTGAACATGTGGAAGTTCTCGGTTCATGTACTGTTGGAGCCTAGCTTGAAGGATTTTGAGCATTACTTGATAGCATGTGAAATGAGTACAATCAATAACTGTGGACAGCTCAAATCAAAATTAACATTATTTTCTGCCTAAGACCACATGATTTGCTCTTTAAATATTATTTCACTTAACTCTTTCAGTGCAGCTAGGAACTTGTCCAAACTAATGGCTTTGACAGCATTCATGGGATAAGCTGTCATATATCTGAGAGTGGATTTAGGTCAAATTGGAAATGCTTCATCAAGATGGTCCATCTATGGCCAGACTCAGAAATAAAAACCAACAGTATATAATCAGTATATAATCATTGAATTGACCCCCAAAATGCCATTGCTGTAAGCACACGTCGAGGTCATGTTCTACTAGTATAATAAAAGTGATTGCTAATTCCTGAGGCTCAGGACAGGTGCATTTTGGGGGTCAATTCAAAGATTATATAGTATTGGTTTTTATTTTTGAATCTGTCCAGATGACGAAGGGCATTGCAGGCCACTTAGATCACTTCAAGGCTTTGGAGGAGCACAGTGACAAGCCCCAGGTGCACACAGCTTTTAAGGATAGCAGGAAGGGACAGGACCGATTTTGAACCCGTTTTATCTGTTGTCTCAGGGGACACAGTAACCACTGCCTGTAGAGCTCGCCGCAGAACCCGGGCTTCCGTCCTAGTGAGGGGACAGGTAACAGGAGAACTAAGACCAGAGCATTCCTCTCAGAAGCACAGGGTGAGCGAAACGCCTGGGGCTACAAACCCCAGGGCATAGGCAGTAGGTCGGGCTGCACACCGGCAGCACGGACTCTGCGGAGTTCGACGGAAACCGAGAAGGAAGCTGAGAGCCTCCGAGCAGCCAGGACGGCAGGACAAGTCGGCGTGAACTAGTCAAGGCGCGCCGAGGGCTGCCCAGCCCCTGCCAGACAGCAGATCTTGGGTGTGGGATGCCGCCGCCAAGGCGGAAGCGAAAATGAAAGGCATTCAGTCGTGTCTGACTCTTCGCGACCCCAAGGACTGTAGCCCCACCAGGCTCCTCTGTCCATGGGGATTCTCCAGGCAAGAATACCGGAGTGGGTTGCTATGCCCTCCTCCAGGGGAATCTTCCCAACCCAGGCATCGACCGCGGACGTCCCATACCGCGGGCGCAGTCTTCACCTTCTGAGCCAACGCGGAAGCCAAGCGGAAGGCGAAGAGGAAGTCCGCCACGAAGCCCCGCCCCCGCCGCGCAGCCCCGCCTCCGTCGCGCAGGCGCCCAGGGCAGGCGGGCGGCAGTGGGGACCAGGGCCGGGCCTCGCCGCCGCGGAGGCAGCGGAGGTGAGTGGCGCGGCCTGGCGGCTTGGCGGCCTGGAGGGAATGTGAGGGGACGTGTGCGGCCGCGCGCCGGTCACCTCACCGGCGTCCCGCTGCCCTGGCCGGGCCTGGGTTCCTTCGCGGAGGACTCGGGGATTCTGAGAGGAGAGGCAGGCGCCTTGGGGCCAGGCCGCGAAACTTGCGCCAGGCTTGTAACCGCGCTGCGCGGCGCTGCGGGCCCGGGAGCCGTCCGAGGGCCGGTTGGCTGACTGGACAGAACCGAGGGAAAAAGTCAGTGAACTTGACGGCAGGGCGGTAGACACGACGCGAACTGATACTCAAAGAGAGTGACAACATAGGTCCCGAGAACCGCGGGGACACTCCCTGAGCTCAACGTACTTGCGGTTGAGATGTCCGTGGGAGACGAGAGAGAAGGGGGCTGGAGAAGAAATCTATGAAGTGATAATGGTTAAGGATTTTCCTAAACTACAGATATTAAGCCACAGATCAAACTGCTTAATGCAGCACAAGCAGGATAAGTAGGTTTAAAGGGGGGCGGGGGGGGGGCGGGGAAGTAGATACATATTCAAACAGCTGAAAGCAGGGAAGCCAGAGGGAAGTCCCCTAGGTCAGGCGGCGAGGCGGCCAGGAACGAGGCCGGAAGGTGGGAGAGTGCAGGGAACGCGTGAAGGATGCCGAACCTTCACCGCAGCCCAGCCTGCTGTATGGACAGTGGAGGGTGGAGTCTTTGGGAAAAGATAATTCCTGAGTTAAAGAGGCCTCACATGCCCAGGAAGGTTTGAAACACCACTCAGAGCCTTGAATTTTGTAAAATACTGTTGAATTCTCTCATGCTTATAATTTATACATCTCCTGATATGATGGTGCCCTGTTTCTTCCTGTATTGTTACTCTCCTGAGTTGCATTCACTGGCTTTCGAATGTTGAACCAGGTTTGCGTTCCTGGGTGGAATCCAGTCTGCCCTGATGCTCTAGGCCTCTTATGTATTATTGGATTCAGTTTGCTAATATTTTGCTGAAGAATTTTGTGAAGGATATTGCTCTGTTGTGTTGTTCAGTCGCTTAGTCGTGTCCATCTCTTTGTGACCCCATGGGCTGCAGCACGCCAGGCTTCCCTGACCTTCACTATCTCTGGGAGTTTGCTCAAACTCATGTCCATTGAGTTGGTGGTGCCATCAAACCATTTCATCTTCTGTCATCCTCTTCTCCTCCTGCCCTCAATCTTTCCCAGCATCAGGGTCTTTTCCAGGGAGTTGGCTCTTCACATCAGGCTAAAGTATTGGATCTTCAGCTTCAGCATCAGTCCTTCCAATGAACATTCAGGGTTGCTTTCCTTTTGAATTGACTGGTTTGATCTCCTTGCAGTCCAAGGGACTCTCAAGAGTCTTCTCCAGCACCACAGTTTGAGCGCATCACTTCTTTGGCACTTAGCCTTCTTTATGGTCCAACTCTCACATCCCTACATGACTACTACTGGAAAGACCATAGCTTTGACTATACAGAGCTTTGTCGGCAAAGTGACGTCTCTGCTTTTTAATACACTGTCGAGGTTTGTCATAGCTTTGTAGTTTTCCTATAATCAGTTCAGTTCAGTCTCTGAGTTGTGTCCGACTCTTTGCAACCCTGTGGACTGCCGCATGCCAGGCTTCCCAGTCCATCACCAACTCCTGGAACTTGCTCAAGCTCGTGTCCATCGAGTTGGTGATGCCGTCCAACCATCTCATCCTCTGTTGTCCCCTTCTCCTCCTGCCTTCAATCTTTCCCAGCATCAGGGTCTTTTCCAAGGAGTCAGTTCTTCGCATCAGGTGGCCAAAAATTGGCATTTCAGCCTCAGCATCAGTCCTTCCAATGAATGATTTCCTTTAGGATGGACTGGTTGGATCTCCTTGCAGTCCCAGGGACTCTCAAGAGTCCTCCAACACCATAGTTCAAAAGCATCAATTCTTCGGCACTCAGCATTCTTTATAGTCCAACTCTCACATGCATACATGACCACTGGAAAAACCGTAGCTTTGACTAGATGTACCTTTGTCAGCAAAGTAATGTCTCTGCTTTTTAATATGCTGTCTAGGTTGGTCATAACTTTTTTCCCAAGGAGCAAGTGTCTTTTAATTTCATGGCTGCAGTCACCTTCTGCAGTGATTCTGGAGCCCAAGAAAATAAAGGCTGTCACTGTTTGCATTGTTTCCCCATCTGTTTGCCATGAAGTGATGGGACTGGATGCCATGACCTTAATTTTTTGAATGTTGAGTTTTAAGCCAGCTTTTTCACTCTCCTCTTTCACTTTCATCAAGAGGCTCTTTAGTTCCTCTTCACTGTCTGCCATAAGGGTGGTGTCATCTGTGTATCTGAGGTTATTGATATTTCTTCCGACAATCTTGATTCCACCTGTGCTTCATCCAGCCCGCGTTTCACCTGATATACTCTGCATATAAGTTAAATATATGCAATATATAGCCTTGACACACTCCTTTCCCAATTTGGAACCAGTCCATTGTTCCCTGTCTGGTTCTAACTGTTGGCTTCTTGACCTGCATATAGATTTCTCAGGAAGCAGGTGATATAGTGTGGTATTCCCATCTCTTGAAGAATTTTCTACAGTTTGTTGTGATCCACACAGTCAAAGGCTTTGGCATAATCAATAAAGCAGAAGTAGATATTTTTCTGGAACTCTCTTGCTTTTTCTGTGATCCAACAGATGTTGGCAATTTGATCTCTGATTCTTCTGCCTTTTCTGAATCCAGCTTGAATATCTGGAAGTTCACACTTTACATACTGTTGAAGTCTGATTTGGAGAATTTTGAGCATGACTTTGCTAGTGTGTGAGATGAGTGCAGTTGTGCGGTAGTTTGAATATTCTTTGGCATCACCCATCTTTGGAATTGGAGTGAGAACTGACCTTTTCCAATCCTGTGACCACTGCTGAGTTTTCCAAATTTCCTGGCATATTGAGTGCAGCACTTTCCCAGCATCATCTTTTAGGATTTGAAATAGCTCAGCTGGAATTACGTCACCTCCACTAGCTTTGTTCGTAGTGATGCTTCCTTCCTAAGGCCCACTTTACTTTGCATGCCAGAATGTCTGCCTCTAGGTGAGTGATCACACCATCGTGATTATCTGGGTCATGAAGATCTTTTTTGTATAGTTTTTCTGTGTAATCTTGACACCTCTTCTTATCTTCTGCTGCTGTTAGGTCCATACCATTTTTGTCCTTTATTGTGCCCATCTTTGCCTGAAACATTCCCTTGGTATCTCTAATTCATTGAAGAGATCTCTGGTCTTTCCAGTTAATGCTGTCAGGAATCAGTTAATCAGGTATCAGGTTTCAGCTGATAGTCTAGTCCAGTTAATGGTATCAAGGTAGTACTGGCAGTTTTGGTTGTTCATGTGATACTAGGCTCAGAATTTCTTTTTTTTTTTTTTGTGCACCCTGTTCTCCTTTGGGAACCATAAATTTGTTTTCTGTGTCAGAATTTCTTTGAAAGTATTCGTTTCTCTGTGTTTTCTTTTTCCCTGTGGTTTGTTTATCTGCTCCTGGTTGCACCAGGTCTTTGCTGGGAGCAGGCCTTCTCTGCTTGCGGGGAGCAGGGGCTGCTCTCTGGTCGTGCTGTGCGGCTCCTCACTGCGGCGGTGTTGCCGCAGAGCGCAGGCTCTGGTGCGCGGGCGTCGACAGTGGCGGCTCCCGTGCTCTGTGGTGCGTGGGCTTAGTTGCTCCTCCGCACTGGGGCTCCTCCCGGTATCAGGGGTCCGTCCTCTGTATCCCGCATTGGTGGGTGGCTTCCTTACCACTGAGCCACCAGGAAAGCCCCCTGCTCTGTATTCTGGACGTTTCTGTAGGTTGGTGTTCCTTCTGTTAATGCTTGACAATTTGCTGGTACAGCCATCTGGGCGTGAAGTTTTGCTGGGGCTCTATTTCACTTTAAAGCAAAATTTAAAATTACAGATTCACTTTTCTCAATAAATGTAGATCTTTTCAGGTTTTCCATTTTGAGTCACTTTTGATAATTGGTGTTTTTTTCAAGAAAGGTGTTTGTTTCATCTAAACTGCCAAGTTCATTTGGTAAAAAAGGTCACTGCATTCCCTTATCCTTTTAATGTCTGTAGTCTTAGTGATAGCCCCTATTTTGTTCCTCATTATGGTAATTTGTATCATTTTTCTATTTTTCTTGATCAGTCTAACTAGAGGTTATCAACTTTATTGATGTTTTGAAGTAACCAGCTCTGGTTTTATTGACTTTTTCCCTATTGTTTGTCCATTTTCTATTTCTTTGATTTCTGTTCTTTATTATTTCCTTTTTTTCTGTGTATTTTGGGTTTAATTTGCCTTTTTCTAGCTTCTTAAGGTAGAAAGATGACTTATTTTAAACCTTCATTTCCAGTTTAGGCATTTAAAGCTGTGAATGTCTCTAAAATCAGCTTAAACTGCATTGCGTATATTTTGATATTTTAGTTTTCATTTAGTTCAAGCTATTTTCTAATTTCTCTTGGGATTTCTTTTGTGAATCATCATTTATACAGAAATATATCACTTAATTTCCAAATATTTGGGGATTTTCCATGTATCTCTTTGTCACTGATTTTAATTGAATTATTTCGGGGCTAGAGAATGTACTTTATGATTTCAGGCTTTTAAAGTTTGAAGCTCATTTTTTGGCCCAGCATATAGTCTTGTCCTGGTGATTACCTCATGTACACTTGACAAGAACGTGTGACCTTGAGCAGTCTCATAGTTGCCCTGAACTGGAGATCCCTTGCTGTAAGTTGCCCGTCTTCTCTGGATAAGAAGCAGGCAGTGGGGAGCTTTGAAATGTGGGTGGTTCTTGGTTCTGCAGGTGACATGCCCCATCTCTTGACCTTGCAGATGGCGTGTGAGACAGAGCGAAACCCCCTGGGTGTGTTCAAGTGCCAGCTCTGTGCCTTAACAGCTCCATACAGCTACAAGGGGCAGCAGCCCCCTGACAGCCAATCTGTCATGTGAGTACCATGTCCCAGCCCAGGAGCCCCCCAGAGCTCGCCGGCCTGAATCTGACACAGAGCTCGGGTGTCATGTCTGGGCCCCCCCTACCCGGGCCCTGGGTGCTTCCGGTGTGACCCACACCTGGAGGGTTCAAGGGCCATCTGGCTCTGCTGGAACCTCCCAGTCCCTCCCTCCGTGTTAGGCCCAGGGGCCAGCCTTGGGTGGACTTGCCTGCCCGCAGCTCCTGTTCTGGTGGGAGTGAGCCCTGAGGGCCAGCCTCTGCCCAGGAAAGGCCTGCAGTCGAGCCAGTGGGTCCCAGGCCTTGATTCTTGACCTTCAGCTCACTGAGCACCCACAGTGGGCGGCCCCCAGGGAGGTCTGTGCAGCTGCCGAGTCCCTGTCAGCGGAGGTCCGGGCCTTCCTGCCCCACTTCCTGTCCTGCAGCCTCCTGGAGGAGAGCTACGTGATGCGGGACCCCTTCACCCCCGACAAGGGCAGGTTCCTGATCGTCGGCTCCAGGTGCAGCGTGTGCAGCAAGCTGGTGTGTGTGGACCCGGTGGGTAAGCCGCGTGCGCCTGGGGACGCCTTCCCTCTCTCCCCCGTGGCCGGGACCTCACACCCGTGGTCTCGGGAGAGGTGACCTTCGTGCCGTTCCCAGGGGCAGTGTGAGCGGCACCCTTTCCTGGCCTTGGTGTTCCTGGGCCCCCTCACGGTCCCTTGGGGGGCAGCTGCTCTGCCCCATCACGGGTGGGTCCCTGCAGTCAGCAGAGGGCTCGGGGACAGGGAGGCTGGGGTCAGTGTGAGGGTCTCGGTGGGGGTTGAGGAGAGAGCTTCCTGGAGGCTCTGCACCACCAGTGCCCACGCCCCTTAGCCCCTAGTTGCCTCCCCGCCCCCACCAAGTGCGGCTGGCGTTGTGCTCGTCCCTCGGTGGGATCATGGCCTTTCTAGTCGTCCCCCAGGGCCCTTGCAGAGGAAGGGGCGCGCTTTCTGGAGCGTTTGTTGTGTGCCAGACCCTGTGCTTGGGACGTGTGTTGCCAGCAACGCCTTCTTCAACCCGGTCCCAGCCTGGTCAGGCAGAGCAGTGCTGCGCCCATTTTATAGGCGAGGAAACTGAGATCTAGAGGTGGAGTTGGCCCAGTTGAGTGGGCCAGCTGAGCCTGTTGTCTGAAAGCCCGAGGACGGGTGGGGTGCAGCTGCGGAGACCCTCACCCTGAGCGCGTCTGCAGCCCAAGCGCCTGCCCGGGGGCCCAGGGCCAGCGATGGAGGGGCGGGGGGCCGTGCCACAGAGCGGGTGGGGACAGCCAGCCTCCATCCATCAGAAGTCAAGGTGATGACACTGGCAGGTGGGAGGAAGCCTCAGCCCAGGCAAAGGCCCGGAGGGAGCCACACCACCGCGGGGGTGTGAGGAGACGGGCAGCTGGGGCGGCTGAGGCCCTGTGTGGACGGGAAGTGGCTGGAGTCAGGGGAGTGGGGCCAGGTGGGGGACAGCCAGGACTGCCACCCCCGGGAGTTCGGGCTGCACTTGGTGACAGGGGACGGGGCCCCGTGTGGCATCAGATCTCCACAGTTGTCTTGGTTGAGGCACAGCCTAAGCTCCTGGAAGGAAGGGACTCCGATACACGGGACAGATGAGACGAACAGAGCCCGGCCCAGGTGGTGCTGCCGGGGCACAGCTGTGGTCCTCAGCACAGGACCCGTCGGGGCCCCTGGGGATGTCGCTGCTCCGCCGTCACGTCTGCATCCCCATTGGTGGGAAGGGACCGGAGCGCACATGCCTGTTCCTTCAGAGGGCATGACCAGGAGGTGGCACACAGCTGTGGTGACGCCGCTGAGCAGACTCAGCCACGTGGCCACACCTGGCTGCAGGGTGGCTGGGAGGCAGGTCTGGGCCCTGTGCCAGATGGAAATCAGTGCAATGTTAGGGATGCCACTGTCGCCACTGTACGTGGTGGAGCAGTTCTGACCTCCTGCCCGGACCAGCAGGCCACTTGGCCGTGGCCTCCGGCTCTGTGGGCTGTCCCTCCCTCCCCCGGCTGCTCCCAGCGCCAGTGTCACCGAGCCCCTGCCCCACCGCCGTGATAGCCGGAAGAGGGAGGGACCTCGGGTTTCCAGCCTGTTGGGCCTGGCCTGTGCTCATCCTCTGCCCACGGTGGAGCCCTGCCCTGCAGAAGCCAGGCTGCACCGTCTCTCCTGGCCGCCTTTGCAGGTCTTGCCGAACCAGTCCCACGGCCTGTGGGCTCTGACCCTGGCTCATTTGCCCCCACTGCCCTCCTGGAGGCCCACTGGCTCTTCTTCTCTTAGATGAGGACCACCCTCCTGGAGGTGGGCAGCCAGGCCCCTGCGCCCCCCTCTCCCTCTTGCTGTCTGGCTCTGGCCACACCCCCCAGCTCCTCTCTGCTACTGTGTATCTGGGGGCCTCGCCTTACCCCCTGCCCTGCCTGCAGTGAAGGGCTGCCCTCTGGGAGATGCTGCACTGGGCTTCTTGTGGCACTCAGCACTCCCCCCTGCTTCTTTTAGGAATGCAGTTTATTCTACTCCAAGAGATTTTGCCTCCCCTGTGTCCAGGACAACATGGATGCTTTCCCTCAGGAAATCCAGCGAGACTTGGAGAAAAGGAAAGTCCCCTCCACGAGGCCTGCCAGCCAGCGCAGTTCTCAACCATGAGTGCAGTCGGGTACCAAGTCCACCTGGGGCTCGTGCCCACGCGGGCTTCCATGGCCCAGGACAGAGACGGGGCCGAGATGGAGCCGCTGTGCCGGCCTTCTTCCTGGGCCACTGGGAGCCGTGTCTGCAGCCGCACCAGGGTCAGGAACTGGCAGAGGCGGTGCCCACAGCCAGACCCCAGATGCCAGCGCTCAGGGACCGCAGCCGCCCACCCTCACAGCCCCCAGCTTAGCAGCTGGTGAGACGCTGGCCCGTGGGCTCGCCTTGTGCCCCCGGTCCGTAGAGGGTGGAGCTGCTCTGTCCGAGTCTGTGAGTTCTGCGGGGCCAGCGCACGCTGCCTGTGGGTGACAGAGACATGTCTGATGAGGGGACGAATAAAGAGCTTTTACTGACCGATGTTGGTGCTGAGTTTTGTCTTCTGGGGCCACACTGTCCCAGGCCCACTCTGTTACTGGACCCTGACAGGCAGAGACAACCTCAGGCTTGGGTTCAGGGCAGACCCTATAGTTGGGACTTGTTTTTCCAGACAAGCAGTTCATCTCACAGCATCACTCAAAACTCCCCAAATAATTTTTAAAAATAGTTTATTTTTTAAAACCATTAAGGCAATACTGTACCCTGAAATTAACTCTTTACATTCATCAGTCTTACAGTAGGACATTCCAAACATATAAGTTCCCATCAATTTAGGATAGAAATTAATATATATGATCAGTTCAATCTCCTAAAGGGAAAATGAATAAGATCCATTTTTTTAAAATTTAAATTAACGTTATTTTATAGCCATTTTCTAATTGCCTGGCACGACCACCAGGAAAGTGACCAAGGAGATCCCACTCGCTGTCCTCTGCATACCCCAGCTTCCCTGACCCCAGGTGCCCCACCGATCACACCCAGGGGGCTGAGACTCAGAGGTCATTTGGAGCCTACCCAGAAAAGCTCTGCTTTGGAATTGCTCCTGTTTAGTATGAAATGCAAGGGGTCTGTCAGCCCCTAAATGCTTTGAGAGCATTAAGGCACCAAGAACAGTAACGGACCAACACACACCAAGGGATCAGGCCCAGTCCTGGCTTTGGAAACTGCATGGCTCTGCCGCCGTCTGGCAAAGGCTTCTGTGCTCCATGTGCCCCAGGCACAGACGCATGTCAGGAAGAAGCCCGCCCAGGTTTGGAACAGGTCGCCTGGGAGATGCACGGGGTCCGTGGCTTCCACTGGAGGCTGCCAGCGCAGCTGACGAGAGTCCCTGTCTTAGCATCTCTCAGAGTGCAGAGCTCTTTGGTAACAACCCCCAGGTAGTAATTACCTGAAGAGCAGACAGCTGCTTACTACACAGAAGTTCATCCAGCGGGACCATGGGTCTGCCTTGCTGATAGACAGGCTTGCCTGTGCGAAATGACGAAGAGAACAGATTTACAGGGAAATAAATTCCAGGTGGCTCAGAAGAGAGGGAAAGCTCAGACGTGTGTGCGTGTGTGCATGTGGGGCGGGGGGGCGGGGATGTCCGGGAAGGGGCGGGCCTGTGTGCGCATGCAGTTGTATTTCTGTTGTGACGTTTCAGCTTTTTCTGTGTTTCCAACAGGTCCAAGAGCCAGGCTACTAAACAGTATACATCAGTTCACACTGATTTCAGAAAAATCCCAATGTTTGTTGTTAGATGCATGATTGTAGGTTAGTAAAATATTAGGATTTTTAAAAAACCCTCAAATCACAGTATTTAAGATATAGCTATTAACATAGTTCCTTTTACCATACCGTGTAGGAAAAAAGAAAAGTGATACTCGAACACAAATACTGTAACTATAGGGCACTGAGTGGTATCCATCTCGTGTGAGGTACGTTGTTTTTTAGGCCTGAAAAAAGGACCAGACCATCTGTGCCTTTAAAAAGAAACTTCCCCAAAGCGAATGATTTTTCCTGGAAAAGATCAGCTACTCGTCTTCAGGGCCTCTCACCCCGTGGCCCCCACCTTCTGTCCCAGGAGGCAGGGCTGGTCGTGGGGTCTTGTCTGTGCTCCGGCGGGCACGATGCTGTACTGGTCACCACGCCGCTGGGGGTCGGGGGGCCGGGAAGGCAAGAGAAGAGGAGGCTGCTGTGTTACCTTCTCTGGGGGAAGCGGGGACGCTGTTCACATTCGACCCAAACTAGCAAACACATTTTTAAATGAAAAAAACGGACCCAGGTCTCAGTTTGCTGTTTTGTGATGTAAAAAATTGGTATTTGATTTTTTTCCCCCCAAATAATGCGTTTAACAGCCACGGGGGCCCCGAGGTCCTCTATGTTATGAGTTGCTCAATCAAGATGTGACCTTGGTGTGGGTGCAGTGTGGTCTGTTCTGTGCAGAGGGTTCCAGCTGAACCACATCACGTGGCCCCCTCTTCCTCAGGGGGGTTATACTTCTGCCTCAGGGGGGTTATACTTCTGCCTCAAGCTGAAATTCTGAGAAGCAGACTAGATCTGAGGAGTCTGGGCGCCCCAAGCCAGGAAAAGACGTGTGGAAGTCAGCCTCAGGCAGCAGCCTCTCTGCTCTAATAAGTGGGCCACGCCCATAGCAGCCCACTCTATGGAAATAAAGTAGGAACCTGCCGCACCCCACAGAAACAGCATCGTGGAAAGCGTTATGTAACTCTTGAAGTGACTTTGAAGACATGTCTTTTTTTCCCGTAGAGCACTTTAGTTTAGTTTAGTTTGTCCGGCAGTTCCCAGAGAAGGAGGAGGGCCTCCTATATTCCCAGTCAGACCGAGCTGCTGCCCTTGCTTTCACTCTGGTGTGTGTCTCTGCTGAGGGTTGGTAGCCATTTTCCTAATTGTGCTAAAAAATGGTGCCTAAAAATAGATGTAAATCTCAGCCAACACTCAGACTTCAACCTTTGGAGCCTAATCTTGGGTCTTCTTGGAGAGAAGTTCCCCGGAGGAAAGCGTGCCCCCGGAAAAGTCCTATTCCTGGGAAGGGGGAGCATGCGCAGGGAGAAGGGCACTATTGGCAGCATTCAGGCCGCTGGTCAGCGCTCACCGCCACGGCCCTCCGTCCACTCCTCCCCACAGGGCGGTCCACGGGGCCCCCCTGCTGCAGGCGGGCCATGCCGTCTGGAGAGCCGAGGCAGGAGTCCCCTTAGCTGACCGCTCCAGGCAGAGATTTCGTTGCCGAGAATCTGTCACCCCAGGGGACCAGGCAGACCTTCCGAGCCGGGAGCACCTGCATGTCTTCCTCGCAGGATCCACGTTTTGAAAGGCCATGCAGGTTGAAGAGGCACTTTCAGGTGACTGGTTTTCCAGGGTCCCTGGAAGCCCCTACTGAAGGCCAGGCCAGTGGCCAAGTTGGTCTTAGCTGGAAGCACCTGACTCCTTGGTTGAAACAGTGGACTTATATTTAAATAGGACTTTTAAAGACATTCCAGAGATGAGTGTGGTCATTGGGTCAAGACAAAAGAAGCTCTCTGTCATGCATCCGGCCGTGAGTGGTCAAAACGTCTGGTGTCACAGTGGCTTGAAAAGGAGTCAGGCAGAGAGGGGCTCAGGTGTGACTTGGGGGCGGAGGCGCAGGGAGCCGCGGCTGCCGAAGGCTTGCACAGAGACCTCTCTCTCTGCTCTCGCCTGCCAGCATCTCCCTGTGAGCAGGCTCCCCCTCGGCCAGCAGGTGAAGCTGCGGAGGAGGCAGGCCCTGGGTGGGCCAGGCACCTGGGCCCTCAGCAGCGAAGGCGCGGAGTCCTAACCCCTGGACCAGTGGGGAATTTCCAAGGCTCCCTTTAAATGATAAAATTTCCTTTAAAAATCCACATAGGCTTCCGTGTCTCAGGGTGCACACAGCAGAGGTGGGCACACAGTCTCTGAGCCCTGATCACAGACGGTCTGACTAGGGATGCACCGAAGGCCCCAGTGCTCCATGGACCTTAGATTTAACAGAGGCTCGTGACGGCCCTATCGACGTGGCTGTCCAGCTGCAGATTTGGGGAAATAGTAGCTGCTCAATTAATAGCTTTCTCATCATCAATCATCCAAACAAGGGCCCTACCTGTGCCTGGAGCTTCTGATCAGATCGTAGGCTGCCGCGTTCTGTGCTCTTAAATCGGAAGGAGGGCTCACTTTAACAGGGCCGGCTCTCAGGCATTCTGGAATTCTTTCCCTTCGGTTCACAGTCACCGTTGACACCTATGCGTGAACACTCTTTGGGAAGATGCTTTGAACCCCTCTCCCCAGAAAGCTGTGTAGAGGTCACAGGGCTCCCGGAGGCCAGGCGGGCAGCGGGCAGGGCTGCCGTCAAACTGCTCCTCTGACACTGGACGTCAGGGAGGCGGTGTCCTGCGTGTGCAGCCCTCGGGCTTCTCGCAGTGTGGCGGGGGCAGAAGTGAGCCCGTGGGACCCCCACCGGAAGTGCCCAGGAGGCAGAGAGGAGGGCCACTGGGGGCAGCAGGGCGGCCCAGAGGCCCCATGGTCCACCTGTCCAGACAAAGGCCGCCGGTAGTCTGTGGCCTCTGGGGAGTTTGGCACTTGGTGTTAAGTGAGAGAACGAAGAACCAGGTTTAAACAGTGGCTTAAGACAGATCAAGGTGGTGAAAGGGGGGGTCCCACCATGACCTGCAGCCAGCACCGTGGGCGGCTGGCTCTACACTGGTCATCTGAAGTTTCTGGAACCCGCTTCCACTGGACCTTATGCTGATGTCTGCTAAAACCTCACAAGCAAGAAGCATGCTCCTTCGATAGCTCCTGTTTGAAACACTACCATATACTAAACTGGTGAATAATTCATCCATAATTTGACTATCAGTGCTCAGAGAAATCTCTGATTGTGTGACCCCAGATATTCTGAGTGGCAATGAGTGGCTCTGTTATTTCAAGTGAATTTTTTCCTATTAACAAGTGAACAATGTCAGGTTGCTTTCAGGCCAAGGTCCTCTGTGGCTTCACCATGGGCTTCCCTGGTGGTCTGGCTGGACCCCAAGAGGACCAAATGCTTGCTGACACCGTGGATGCAGAGGCTGGGCCAGCAGTCAGCTTGTTCAGTGGCAAGCATGAGTTGGGAGCGGTTTCAGATAGGTCCTACGAAAAGCTAAACAGAACCAACAAGTCTTCTGAAAGCCTGAGGCTTGAGCCTCACTTTCCAAAGCTGTGTCTCTGTGCATAGACCTGTCCCGAAACACCAGAGCAAGAGGCGGTACACACACAGGATCCAGCCCGCAACCCCAAGACTCACACGAGCCACAGGCCTCCAGGCTGTGGGAGTCAGCCCAGGGAGTTCCCATCTCAGGGAAGAACGGGGACACAGGTGCACCTGTGACTCAAAGCTCACCTCCTTTCTGACTTAGGGTGACCCCTGACTGGCATCAGTTCTAAAGAGGAAATGCTTTCATTTGTTTCCAGCAGGTCCTTTGATTGCATCTTAAAAAAAATAAAAGATAAAACCATCACCGAATGTATAACATGTACAAAGATGTCCTAATTGTAAGGCTTGCTCTTTTTTAAGCTGAAGTCTTAGTTTTTTGTATGATAATGCTGATCTTGGGGACTTTTTCAAATTCAATCCTAGCCATTCTTTAACAGCAGATAACAATGACATTCTAGAACCAAATGTCCTACAGACAGAGGGGGAGGGACATCAAGGGTCAAAAATGCTGCTGGCCCAGGAGGCATCCAGGGGCTGAACCGGCTATGGGGTGGGGAGGTACTCTGGCAGCTCTCTGACGGGACAGTTAATCCAGGTGGTGGACAGGACCATGTGCTCTAGACAAAAACCATAATCCACACTGCCTCCAAACTGGACTGAGGTTGAAAACTTGACCTTTAAGGCTGAATCAGACATTTTAGATTTTGGTAAAACCACCTTATATATGTAGCTGGAAAAGGAGACAACTCTTGAAATCCTTGCAAAAACCACCGGCCTGCTGTGAATCCTGAGACCAAATAAAACCATTTCATTTCCACCCCCCAACCCTGCCCCCCAACCAGGCCCATTCTCCAGATAAGACCCCTGTCCCCACCCCCACGCTATAAAGTTACAGGTGCCTTGTCCTCTCCACCCCAGGGAGCAGCTACCACCAACAGGGGTTAAAAAGAAAGAAAGCTGCATATTAGAAAAGCAACATAGAAAAAGACCAAGGAGCTGCCTTGACAGAGGGGGCCTGGAGCAAGATTCACAAATAACTTGTCAGTTTGCCCCTGGAGACACGACCCTGGCCCCCAAACAGCTCGGCTCAGTGTATTCAGACTTGATAGGGAATCGAGCCGAGAGGAATGGGAAGCGGACTACACTTCAGAGTCCCTCTTGTTCCTGTTGACCACAGGTGCTAGCTTAAAACAGGGAGGGGATCGAGTCCAGAGGGGCCTTGAGACATGGCTTTCTGGAATCTTCTACACACGCCTGGGAACAGGCTTTTCCACATACTACTTACAACCACAAAAACAGCAAACTTAAACGAAACAACCGATGCATTTTGATAAGCTTATTGAAATCATTCTTTGACATTCTAAATCCTGTGATTCAAAAATAGCACGTTGTCTTTCTTCGAATTCAGGAAACAGAACCGAAGTCTTCCAAATAAATATTTCACTGCTTTTAAAATACTTAACCTTTGGAGACATCTATGTTTACAGGATTATAAAAGTTTAAAAGTGCTGATTAGTTTTCAAAATTATAAAAGAGCACAACAGTCAAAAAGCGGTAAAAAGGGAAGACAGACCACGTATTTTGAGGTTAATGCACTGATAAATTCCTAACACGATATAAAGAAATCTGCATTGATTCACATCAGGCACATTAAAAATCAGACCGCTGAACACCATTCCCCATCATTTCCCAAGTCCTGACTAGTAGCTGCTTCTCACCAGCATCTCAAGACTCTGCACTGCTCTCAGAAGAAGTGGTTACAAAAAAGAAACGTGGAATAGCGTGCCGGTTACCTAGCGAGCATACTTCCCGTGGTTCCAAGGCTTCCATGGTGGACATCTGTGCAAAGCTGCCTTGCTCCCATCGCTCCACTGTAGTGCTGTCCCCTCTGAAAACCCACCAGAAGCCCCTTCCGCGTGCGCGGCCAGGGCATCAGTACATGTCCCTGTAGATCTCCTGCAGCAGCGGGTGCAGGGCGGCGTCCGACTCCGTCTTCTTGATCACCTGCACCAGCTGCGCGTGCTCCGTGACCAGCTGCCGCAGGTCTGCCATCTTTTGCAGGAGTTTTGGGAAGAGGAAGACGTCGTCAGGATGGTTGTTCTGTAGGTGGAGTTTGAGCACGTGCACAATGCCCTCCTGCATTTTTTCAATGTGTCCTACGTTTAGGAGGCCGGGCCGATCTACCCTCAGGAGAGAGGAGAGAGGTTTCAGTGGCGTAACCAGCACGTTAGTGCCTAGTAACAGGCTTCCGTTCTGAGAAACCAAACATCCTGACCGGACTCTGGTTTCTTACCCAAAGCTCAGCCGCCTTTACACACAGTCCACTTGCCTAAAAGACAGAACTACATTTTTCCCAAATCGCTGGGCCTGGGATAAACAGGAGGAATACTCGTTCCTAAATATTTCTTTTCTTTTTTTAAAATGTATTTTATTTATTTGGTTGCAACAGGTCACGGCTGCAACTCACGGAATCTTCTATCTTCACTGGGGCATGTGGGATCTAGTTCCCTGATCAGGGATTGAACCTGGGCCCTCTCCACCGGCCTCGAGGAGCCTTAGCTGCTGGACCACAAGGGAAGTCCCTCAGTATTTCTATGACCTTAAAACCACTAGCTAGCTTACAGGGTGACTACTTCATTTAGAGTTTATCTGATGGCCACCTGTCAGGGGAAAACCCCCAAAACATTAGGAGTAGCAGCTATACATACAACCTACTTGTGCCTAATATGGAAAATGATATCCTTCTTCCTGCATCTTCTTAGGTACTCCATTTCAACAATGCTTGAGGAATGTGATTATGTGCAACATAGGTTTTGTGGTACAAAGCGCCGTTCCAGGCACCTTCTCATGTGTGTGAATATGTGTGCTCAGTCGCTTCAGTCGTGTCTGACTCTCTGCGACCCCCCAGGCTCCTCTGTCCATGGGATTTCCCAGGCGAGAATCCTGGAGTGGGTTGCCATTTCCTTCTCCAGGCGATCTTCCCGACCTAGGGGTTGAACTCACGTCTCTTATGTTTCTTGCATTGGCAGGAAAATTCTTTACTACTGTGCCATCTGGGAAGCCCACCTTCTAATATAAATCAGCCAAAAAGTAGGTGGAGCCAGAAAGGAATGAGGGGATGGATACAGGCTGGCGACAGGGCTGAGGACACCTGGAGAGGCGATATGTGAGGCTTGGAGCAGGAAAAGCGAGGTGGACACCAGGTGACCTCCCCAGGGTGGCTCAGACACGGGCACCCGCACCTGGGACAGCTCAGACCGCGCATCCCGAAAGATCCAGAAAGATCAGCCCCCGCCATCCATACTCAACAGGCAGCGCTCTCTTTGGAATCCCACACATCACTAGGGTTTTCAAAAGTGTTGTGAAAAATATAGACTTGTCATTTTTGGCAGGGGGTGAGGTGGGGTGGGGGGTGGGGCAGAGGTTGTAAAATAAATATTAGGTTTTTAAAGAGAGAAGTTTTAAAAAAATAATAAGTGAATCCCACTTCATAATTGTAGCCCCATCATATAGATTTCATGTATGTCTCACCAGATATTTTTCTGATCTGATTATAATTTCTTTTATAAAACTGTGGTCACACTACTTATATAAACAGTCATGCATCACTTTCCCCACCACACTGCATCTTGAGCATGCAAAGGACAGTGACAGATTATGTACGACTGCCTTGCCACTCTGCTTTTTACCTCCACCTGACTGTGCCCAGCTGGATGGCCAGAGGGACAGACCTCGCGGAGCTGGGCCACCCTCACCCAGCTCTGTGTCCAGAGTTGGGGCCACTGCGGTCAGCCTCAATTCCGCGAGTGAGGGACTCACAGGGGACGCTACAGCTTCAGGCAGCAGTGGCCCCTCGGGTCTCCCTCGTGGCTGGGTGGGGTTGAGTTTACAATAGAGGGATGACCTTCTTAGACCCAGGACAGGGCTATTTAAAGGAATGGGAGGCTGAGCCAAAACTCTCCAGAGCTAGCTCCCTGCACAGAGTGCCAGGTTTTCCTTCACTGGAATCCATTTCCTCTGGCAAAGCATACTGTGCAGTCATACCTGTTAGCTGACTACTGATGTTTTCATTATGAAATTGCATAAGTACACCAATACAGACAGCAACTGGACTAACATCCGTGTGGCACTTTATAGAATACTGTCTGCAACATGGACACAAGATATAATAAGAGTTATAACACGGTCGTCCCATGGTATCTGTGGGGATTGTTCTAGGACCCCTTGAGAGTCCCTTGGACTGCTGGGAGATCCAACCAGTCCATCCTAAAGGAGATCATTCCTGAGTGTTCATTGGAAGGACTGATGCTGAAGCTGAAACTCCAGTACTTTGGCCACCTGATGGGAAGAGCTGACTCATTTGAAAAGACCCTGATGCTGGGAAGGATTGAGGGCAGGAGGAGAAGGGGACGACAGAGGATGAGACGGTTGGATGGCATCACTGACTCAATGGACATGGGTTTGGGTAGACTCTGGGAGTTGGTGATGGACAGGGAGGCCTAGGCATGCTGCGGTTCATGGGGTTGCAAAGAGTCAGACATGACTGAGCAACTGAACTGAACTGAACTGAAACACCTAAATCCATGAAAGCTCAAGCCCCTTACATAAAATGGCCCATAACCTGTGCACATCCTCTCAAACATATTACATCACTTCTAGACCACCTGCAATGCCTCAGTGTAAACAGTATGTGAACAGTTGCCAGTGTGTGGCAAATTGAAGTTCTGTTTTTTGGAACCTTCTGGAATTTTTTTTTCTGCATGTTTTCCATCCACGGTTGATTCTTCAGTTGCAGAACCAACGAGTATGGAGGCTGACTGAATATGATGGTGTTATTATAACACATATACATTGTAATATTACTACAATTATATCTGATATATAATAGTGGGTATGATAATAATGAAAGTGAAAGTCACTTAGTCGTGTCTGACTCCTTGCGACCCCATGGACTATACAGTGCATGGAATTCTCCAGGCCAGAATCCTGGAGTGGGTAGCCTTTCCCTTCTCCAGGGGATCTTCTCAACCCAGGGATAAAACCTAGGTGTCCTGTATTGCAGGCGGATTCTTTACCAGCTGAGCCACAAGGGAAGCCCATGATAATAATAGATATCAGTAAATTTTAATTATTAATGATACTTAATATATTTTGTTGTCATTTAATCCTTCAGTCATGCCTGACTCTTTGGGACCCCATGGACTGTAGCTCGCCAGGCTCCTCTGTCCATGGGATTTCCCAGGCAAGAATACTGGAGTGGGTTGCCATTTCCTTCTCCAGGGAATCTTCCCAATCGAGGGATCAAACCTGCATCTCCTGCATTGACAAATGGGTTCTTTACTGCTGAGCCACCAGGAAAATGCCCCCTAATATATTTTATTACTGGAGTGGGTTGCCATTCCCTTCGTGGGTTGGATTCCCTTGCCAATCCCTTGCCATTCCAGGGGATCTTCCTGACCCAGGGATCGAACCCAGGTCTCCTGCATTACAGGCAGGCAGATTCTTTACTGTCTGAGCCACCAAGAAAGCCCTGATATAGTACATCCTCTTACAAATAAAATATATATTTGTGTGGATCCAAAGGGGACACATTACTACTTTACAAATGCGCTGCTGTCCTGTCACTCACTCACTCAGCCGTGCCTGACTCTTCTGCGACCCCATGAGCTGCAGCCCAGGAGGCTCCTCTGGGTTGCCATTTCCTTCTCTGTGGAACCTTCCTGACCCAGGGACTGAACCCACATATCCTGTTCGGTAGGCAGATAAAGCAACATGAATTGGGATTGACATAGACACACTGCCACACATGAAATAATCAGCAGAGACCTACTGTGCGGCACAGGGGACCCTTATCCTGTAACAACCTAAGCGGGAAAATAATCTGAAAAAGAAGAGACGTCCATGTGTGTGCATCTGAATCACTTCGCCGTACACCTGAAACCGACAACACTGTAAACCAACTACACTCCAGTATAAAGTAAGAATGGTTAAAAATAAAAAGTGAAAGCTCTGAAACAGGAGAAGTTACCTTCGCTGCAATATGATCCGACACGGATCTCCTCACTGAATCCTGGTTAGTGTCACTGTGGGAGCTTGGACGCCCTCCCCACCCCCCACCGCCCCAGTGGCGGCTTCATCCCACTCACATCGGATTTAGTGCTGCCAGGCCCTGGAGACAGGAGGCCGGAAGCACCCTGGCCCCGACGGGAGATCAGCAGCCTACCTCCACAGCAGATGATAGCAGCCACAAAGAGGGAGATATCACTGTCGTCCAGCTCCAGTGCGTTGAACTTCATCGCAAAGTCGAACTTGGGCTCCATGATGTCACAGAAGGGTTTTCTTAGGCTTTTAAGGAATTCACGGGTTATGAAGCCATTCCCATAGGCTACCAACATCCCGTCTTTATTCATCACAGAAGACAGCATCGCAAATATGGCTTCGTAAACACCATACTTCAGCAGAGTGACCTGGTCGTTCAAGTCCAAGCTCGCAAAGCCCGGGATGGACTTGGCGAACTCCGTGAGCTCCGTGACGGTCTCCACGGACGTGCATTGGCAGCAGTGGAAGATGCGCACCTCGGCCTCCTTGTTCTGGATGCCGTTGGCCACCAGCTTGGCCACCAGGGTCTTCTCGGCCATGCACAGCGTCTCCATGTCGTGGATGACGAAAGGCTGCAGATAAAGACACTGGAATCAGTCGGATGATTGGCAACAAGCTGTCTGCTTAATTATCATGAAACGGATGAGTAGTCACCGTATTTCAGCCACCTGAGAATCAAAGTCTGTGCAAAACACAGTCCTCATCCGTAACAACCTCAAAATCAGCTGGGGACAAAAGGACTTTTATTTATTTATTTTTTTAACATAAAATGCATAATTTTATTTATTTATTTATTTATTTAATTTTATTAGTTGGAGGCTAATTACTTTACATCATTACAGTAGTTTTTGTCATACATTGAAATGAATTAGCCATGGATTTACATGTATTCCCCATCCCCGTCCCCCCTCCCACCTCCCTCTCCACCCGATCCCTCTGGGTCTTCCCAGTGCACCAGGCCCGAGCACTTGTCTCATGTACCCAACCTGGGCTGGTGATCTGTTTCACCCTAGATAATATACATGTTTCAATGCTGAAAAGGACTTTTAATAGAGTTCAACACACATCAAAAAAGAGAGTCATCATCATCACCTGAAACTGGGTGGGAATGTCACTGCTAAGGAAGTGAAGGACTTCCCTGGCAGTCCAGTCGTCAGGTTCAGTGACTCCACTGCTTTGGGCCTGGGTTCAGTCCCTAGTCAGGGAACTAAGATCCCGCACGCCTTGCAGCACGGCCAGCAGCAACAAAGGGAAGTACTGATTTTGGCGATAAAGCTCACAAGAAAGAGAATATTAGCTAAGCACTCTAAATATTTGATAATTTTCTCTGGATTCCCAAATACTACTGCAATAGCCAGTCATTACAATAACTCTTTTCTTCTGTAAGCAATGGTGGTGGTGGTTTAGCGGTTTAGTTGCTAACTCGTGCCCGACTCTTTGTGACCCCATGCACTGTAGCCCGCCAGGCTCCTCTGTCCATGGGATACTCCAGGCAAGAATACTGGAGTGGGTAGTCATTTCCTTCTCCAGGGGATCTTCCCACCCAGGAATCAAACCCGGGTCTCCTGCCTTGAGGCAGATTCTTTACCGACTTAGCTAAAAGGGAAGCCCTGAGCTACAAGGGCTTCAAGCCTTGAGCTATAAACAATAATAGTTCATTTATTCCAGAGACTCTAAAAAAACAAATCCTAGGGTTTATTTTGGCAAAGTCATATTTAAATCGATGAAAAGTGATAAAACAAATGAAATGATCATAGCCACTGATCATTGGGGAATATGTGCTATTTTAACTATAAACTTTTGGTAAGTTGGGATTTCCTGGTGGTTCAGACAGTAAAGAATCTGCCTGCAATGCAGGAAACCCAGGTTCGATCCCTGGGTCAGGAAGATCCCCTGGAGAAGGAAATGGCAACCCACTCCAGTATTCGTGCCTGTAAAATCCCATGGATGGAGGAGCCTGGCGGGCTACAGTCCATGGGGTTGCAAAGAGTTAAACACGACTGAGCAACTTCACTTTCACTTGGTAAATTATTCATACGTGCATGCGTGCTAAGTCGCTTCAGTAGTATCTGACTCTTTGCGACCCCATGGACCATAGCCCTGCCAGGCTCCTCTTGTCCATGGGATTCTCCAGGCAAGAATACTGGAGTGGATTGCCATGCCCTCCTCCAGGAAAATTATTCATACCAGTAATTTTTAGTTTTTCCATTTTATGAACGTTAGAGATAACTTACCCAACATTGACTATTGAATGAATAAATTTCGGATGTAAATAAATGTAACTCAGAAAGTTAGCATCTGTGTAGAAGTAGACAAACACGCACTATTAAACCCTTGCTCTCTGGGGATAAACCGGAAAGACTTGCAAGACCCCCTTTCCTGGTGCAGGAGACTGAAATCTCCCCACCGCTGCTCCACATTCTGAGACAGTCTCCACAATCTCCAAATGCTTGTGGCAGCTCCCAAAACGTGGCCTTACCATGTGCATCTAAACTCACCAGTCCTATCATTTTATAAAGATCTAATGGGCTGCCCCGGTAGCTCAGGTGGGAAAGAATCTGCCTTGAATGCGGGACACCTGGGTTCGATCCCTGGGCCAGGAAGATCCCCTGGAAAGGGGATGGCAGCCCACTCCAGTAGTCTTCCCTGGAGATCCCATGGACAGAGGAGGCTGACGGGCTATAGTCCATGGGGTTGCAAAGAGTCGGACATGACTGAGAGACTAACACAGTGGAGGACAGATAAGATGGTGGGCCATGGATTTGGAGCCAGTGTGCTCAGAAGAGACGGTGTATCTGGTGGGGCTTGGGCAAACAGGCACAGATAAACACTGCAGCCAAAATGCAGCCAGGTCTTTATGCGGAGCAGAAGAAACGGCAGTCTCCGAGGGAGCACTCTGACTCTTCTACAGGCCGGTGATGACTCGGGCTGAGGCATGATGTTCAGTCCCCGCTGGACAAACACTGAGTGGACGGGCAGCCCAGTGATTTTAAGAACCACTCTGCAAGTGGGCAGATCACATCACTGACAGTGCCTCCGGGCGCCACGGCATGACGTGTGCCCTTTCTGGGCTCACGAGCATCGGGATGAGCCACCTGCAGGGCACCTGTGGGTACCTGGCACAGAAGTGGAGGTGCTGGGATAATCTGACGCACTGTCTTTGAAATGTCTAAACAGAATCAGAATTCGCAAGATAGTCTTGAACCAAAAAAAAAAAAAAAGGATCTGATTTCGCATCTGAGGCAAGGGAGTATTTTTTAAATTATCTGTGAAGGACTGCAAACATCCTGAATACAAAAGTTAAAGCCAAATTTCGAACAATCTCAGGTTTGATGGAGAAAGACTAAAACTATCTTTTTCCAAAGACTTTAAAAGCAGGACAGGTTGACCTTTTGGGGAGAAAGTTTGGGGGCAGTTTCTATGAAGTTGGAGCTTGGATTTAAGGTGGACTAGAAAAATGTTTTTAAAGAATAGATGGCAGTATTCCCTCAATTGCAGAAAATACAATATAAGGCCATCTTGACTTTATACAGATCACTGAGTTTTTAAAAGCACATTCAGCAGGAATAAAAATGTTCCATGAATTTTTTAAAAATGAGTTTTGCTGTTAAAAAAAAAAAACACTGGAAAAATACTGAGCTAAACAAAGTTATGGTCTGCCAGCATCTTTAACATAATGAGTGTACACCGTCGATCTTTAAGAATGGAGTTAGGGACTTCCCTGGTGGTCCAGTGGTTAAGGCCTTGCAATGCAGGGGATGCCGGTTCAATCCCTGGTCAGGAAACTAAGATCCCACATCGCATGCTGCTGAGCCCAAACGAGAGAGTCTGTGCGCCACAACGAAAGACCTCACGCCTCAGCGAAGACCTGATGCGACCAAATAAATATTTTTTAAAAAAGAAATCACCTGCTAAAAAAATTTATTAAAAAAAAGAACTGGGTTAGCATAAGCAGTGGTTTCCAGTGTTTGACTGCAGAATGCCTATTTATTATTATTATTATTATTATTATTGGTAGGACATTTCATAGGACTAGCACAGACTGGCTACATAATTTTCAGGGCCTAGTGCAACATGCCAGTCACTTACTCAGAAGCGATTAAGACTTTCAAGACAGTGACAGAGAGCATGAAACCCCAGCACAGGGCCCGCTGCGCGGGGGGCGGTATGAGACGGCACACACGCCCAGGATGCCGGCCCTGGACTAGTTTTACGTGATGCATTCTCTCATAAATGAAGACCTCGGTCATAGCGAGTATTTCATTTTTATAAAATTTTCAGTTGGGTTTTAGAAGGCAGGCCTCATTAACAGGAAAAATTAGAAACCGCTTGGATTCAAAACAAGTGTGAACATTTAAAATCATGTTTGTTACAGCCAAAGAGAAATTGTAGAGTAAGACCTTGAAAGTTTGCCAAACTTTATTGAGAAATATTATCCACTAGGCTATTTTAGAAGTCCTGGAAGCTTTCATTTAACTTCAGAGGGAGCCTTTTCTACTTAAGCTTGAATATGAATATATCTGATGTTACAGGTGGTCATTTCAAATCAACCAGCACATCATAAAAAGTTTAAACAGTACAAGGCAGAAAGCTGTCCACTTTCCCCTCAGAATTGTGCGTGCACGCGTGCTAAGTCCCTTTAGTCACCCTCTTTGTGATCCTATGGACTGTAGCCCCCCAGACTCCTCTGTTCAAGGAACTCTTCCGGCAAGAACACTGGAGTGGGTTGGCATGCCCTCCTCCGGGAGACCTCCCTGACCCAGGGGCCACACCTCACCTCTTTAGGTCTCCTGCACGGGCAGGTGGCTTCTTCACCACCAGTGCCCCACTTGGGGTGGGGTAGCACCCACCCCAGGTCATTCCAGGCCAAGTCCAGAAGGCTCCCCTGACTGATAGCATTTTTGTTTTCTCACACCTGAAGTGTTCTATGTGTGTTAACGGTGTTCCCTATAAGAGTTCATTTCCGAAACACATTCAAAGAGCATTTTCTGTGAAAACTTAGGCAGCGCCATCTTTTAGGAGAAATTTAATTGTGAGTTATTTGGTAGAATTGCTTTGGATGACGTTATCTAACAAGCTCTTGATGAGGTTTTACTACGCATTTCTCGATACAGTATAAAACAGCATGTTTTCAGCCTACTGACAACTGAAGCTATAGGTATGATATTTCAACAAAGCACAGCAGGCCAGACCCCAGGGCGTGGTGGGAGGGGGTGTCAGTCCAAGACCCACCGTGCGTGGGCAGCTCCGCCTCTGTCTGAGCACAGATGGAGTAGCTGAGACTGTGGCCCCGAGTTGGATGCTCCAAGCTCTGGCGTGCTCTGGGCAGGCCAGATAGACAGGAGAAGGGCCACATCTCCATGTATGCAGGGCATGGGGTGGGAAGTGAGCCCACCTGGGAGCAAACAGGGTCATCAAAGGCAGTGACTGTCCCCTGGACACTCCCTTTCCAGCTGGTACCCGTGATGCGGTGGTTTGGAGGTGGGGGCAGAAGCTAGAGACGGACCTTTAGCGGTACCCTGAACTCACTTTTCCTATCCAGTGAAGCCCAGTCCTAGACTGCTTGTCTATTATTTATTTCCTTAAGGCCAAAACACAGATTCCTCTCCCCAAGTCACTGTGTGATAGTCCTCAACTGTGCAGGTTTCCACTCTGGCCTTGGGTGACGGGCTCCTCCTTGGAGTACGTGGACCTCAGTGAGGTATGGGAAAGATACTGTACGGAAATCAAGTTAATATCAAACAAAAGTGTTTGGCTCAGAGTAAAGATGACTTTTAAGTTTGCTTTATATTCTGAAAACCCAAGGGAGAAGTAGAAGATCTCAGCAACATCTCAAAAGATTCAAAGAGATAAAAAATTTGGACTACAAGATCAAACCAGTCAATCCTAAACGAAATCAACCCTGACTATTCATTCGAAGGACTGATGCTGAGGCTGAAGTTAAAATACTTTGGCCACCCGATGGGAAGAGCTGACTCACTGGAAAAGATCCTGATGCTGGCAAAGATTGAAGGTGGGAGGAGAAGGGGACGACAGAGGATGAGATGGTTGGGTGGCATCACCGACTCAATGCACATGAGTGAGCAAACTCTGGGAGGTGGTGAAGGACAGGGAAGCCTGGTGTGCTGCAGTCCATGGGGTCGCGAAGAGTCAGACATGATTTAGCAACTGAACAACAGCAACAACTTGGGGCTATACCAGTCATTTCCAGGAAAGAAATTCAAAGGTGAAAGGTTACTTTGCTTTCACCCCTGTGATGTGGAAAGGACTGAGTCTGTGCTGGCCCGGCGTGGGTGCAGCTTTACCAATTTAACAAGAGTTTGCTCAAACCCTTCTAAAGTACCTCAGCCTATTTCATTGGAGAAATCACCGAAGAATGAAAAGACTCAGTAAAAAAGAGGCTGGGTGTGTTCATGAAAGTAAGCAGCTTGTGAAATGCTTTACTTTCCTGTGACTAAAAGTTCCAGCTTGTAATTCCCAACAGGGATGGCTTCGAGCTACTCATTAGTACAGATTAAACCTGTTGCACCATGCTCATAGGGAAGAGACAGAACGTCTTGATTTGCCAACCTCGGGCCATGCCCTGCTTTGAAGGCCACTCTGAGATCAGTCCTGTAATGGAGACAGAGGCTTGGCTCACTGTGGGGTGGGGGCCAGGTGCACTAGGGACATCCTTAGTTGCTCCCAAAAGGTCCAGAACCGTCCAAAAGACAGTAAAAATAAAGTTAATGAAAACAAGAGGACCCCTTCTAAGCCTGGAGATGTCATTTGCTTCTCCCTGGAGAAAAAGCAGATGAGGGGTGGGTAGGAAGGGGGAACACTGGAGAGGAGAGAGTATTTTTTTAGGAGCAAGGATACAAGGGCACATTTTGAGTCAGAAGGGAATGGTTTCATCTTCTGAAATTAAAAAAAAAAATCACTTACACAGCTCTAGAATCTGGTAAACTATTAAACAGAGTTTTGGGGCACATTAATTACACAGTCAGTATACTAACTTGGTTGCTGGGAGCTTTGAGGTGGATCAAATGGATAGGAATTGCTGTCAGGCTGAGTTTCATAGTCTCTGAACGAAAATGTTGCATTGCATTGTCTGTTGTTTGCCTTGGGGATAAATGTTATTTTCTCAACATTCAGAACATACTTCCTCTACCCTCTGCTATGACGCGTGCTGACGGGTGGCCCAGGGAGCCCGTCAGACTGTAACAAGCAGAGCAGAGCCACCCACCGGATTGTTGTTGGTCTTCCCGGCAAGGATGACCCGGGCCTTGACCTTGTTCATGTTGAAGTTCTTCAAGTAGGCCTCATAAATCCTCTTGGCCAGAGACTTGAGATCTGCGGTTTCGGAATCTTCTAGGTCATGTTCACACGTGAGGATTTCTGCTTTCAATTTTGCTTTTTCAGATCTTGGCATTCGTCCAAAACGAATCGCTGGGGATTGGAGGGGAGATACGGAATCATGGAAAACAGAGAAATGAAGGACATAACGGGGAGTGACGACTAACAGCTGCAGGGAAAGTTCACACCACGGGTTAAACTGTGGCCGAACATTACTAGGAAATTAGAATGCACTTTTCCACGACTCAGCTTTCTCCCTCGGAGAGGTGAATGTACTACTCAAACTCCATATATCCCAGACTTTTAAAACCAAAAGGTTAAAATAAAAATTAGCACCATTACTCACTTCATCAATAGGACGGGCTCAAGGTCACTTCATGTCATTAAGTATATAATTGACCCTTCCAATCAAGGAGATGAAAGTGAGCTTAGAAGGAGTTAACTGTTACCTTTTTCTCCTTCAGAAGGTAGACATGCAACTCTTGCGAACATCATTTTAAACTTACTTTCACGTAGTAGTTGGCATGTTTTTAAAATAAGAGTAGGGGGCCTTCCCTGGTGGTCCAGTGGTTAGAACTCCACATTTCCAATGCAGGGAGCGTGGGTTTGATCCTTGGTTGGGAAAGGATCCCACATACCACATGGCCAAAAAAAAGATATTAAAATAAGAGTATGATTGAATGTAATTAAACTTATAATATAGTAAAATGTTTGAAATGGCACACACTTCATGTGTAAGATATGAACATTATCTCTGTGATTTACAGTTGGTTGCAAAATCTTATATCCGAGTTTCACCATTTGAAGTTTTTAACCATAATTCCAAGAGCTCTACTGGATCTCTGCTCTTTGAGACTTACTTTCTTAGGCTCTTGTGTTACAAAATGACCTGAGTGTTAAATGCTGCAGCACGTTCATCAAAGTACAGCCCATTCCGAGCCCCTGAGAGAGGCAGACAGAGGCATGGGTGGGTGAAGTTTGAGAGACAACCTTACCTACCATTATGGGACATCCCAACCGAAAGGCACTTGTGGAAACGACAGTATTGGCACTTATTCCGATTCTTCTTCTGAATCTTGCAACTACGGTCACATTTGTCATACACCAGCTTCAGCCGAATCGTTCGCCTAAAGAAACCCTGCAGATTAACATACAGTTTGTTAAAGAGTAGGACCACAGATGAATCAATGTCATTCCTTTATTTACGCTTCTTGTTGTTCATTAATTGTCTCTTTTAAGACGAACTAAATGTAGAGAAATAGTTCATCTAAAAAGCCCGACATAGGGATTCCCTGGTGGCCCGTGGTTAAGACTCTGCGCTCCCAGTGCAGGGGGCACAGGTTTGATCCCTGGTTGGGGGACGAGATCCCACGCGCAGCACAGCACGGGCAAATAAATAAATAAAGTTCTGAATTTCTTTTTAAAGTCTGATATAATTGAGGCAAGTTGAAAATTTGAAATTTCATTACCTGGAAAAGGAAAAGTAAGAAAATGAGGCAAAATTCAAAGTAATACCAATACATCCTCACCTAGGCAAACACACAGTCCCCCAAAGAGTGACTCCACCCAGCTAAGATTTCTACAGATGTGACTTTCTCTTCTCAGAGAACAGGTCCATATGGGTGATGAAAATATTCTAAGCATTTTTATGGGAGAACATAAACTGTCTAAAAGATAAAGATTATATAATAAAGGGAGGCCAGCTGGTTGTAAATAACTTTCTTGCTTTATAAAAGCATCTTAAACTTTACCCAGTGAGAAACAACTTTAAAAAAGCCCAAAGTAAACAAAGGTGATTAAATCATTGCCCAGTGGAAAGACAACTTTGCAAGGAGCAAGACACACGCCGCGGGGCCCGCGGTTCAGGTGGACAGGCCCCTGGCCCCAGGGGCACACTGCAGGGCGTGCCGCAGTGGCTGCGGAGGGCTTGGCCCAGGGTCTGGCCGTGGGCTGGCATGCGCTGCGGGGTCCTGACGTGGCCGAATGCTCGGGAGGACCACCGCCCTCTGCGGCCTTCTGAGGACGATGGAGAGAGAATGTGCGCCGAAGCTCTCTGACCTCGCGTCCCCGTGAAGGCAGCAGCCTCACCGTGGCTCATTCTCTTTCAAGCAGCACACTTGCCTCATCACGTATAAGGAGCAGCCCAGCAATACGCCACAGGCTCTCCACAGAGCGAAATGAGCCTGCTCCTGGGATCAGTTTCTGATCGACAGCTTTCACGCGCGTGTACGGAGCCACTTCCGTCGTGTCCGACTCTGGGCCACCCTGTGGACTGTAGCCCGCCAGGCTCTTCTTGTCCATGGCATTTTCCAGGCAAGAATACTGGAGTGGGTTGCCATTTCCTTCTCCGGGGACCTTCCCCACCCAGGGACTGAGCCCGCATCTCCTGCGGCTCCTGCACCGCAGGCGGAGCCACCAGGGACGCCCTTTAGCAGATCTTTCTCACTAACAACACACATTTGTGTATAAAATAAAGGGAAGCACAGGCGGTCCCTGAAAGGCCGCTTTTCTCCGCATCCAGGGTCCCCGTACCTTGCAGCCCTCACATGCGTGGACGCCGTAGTGGTAGCCAGAGGCTTTGTCCCCACAGATCCTACACTCGATGTTCAGGGCGATACTGGTTGACTCCTCAGTGCTGCCAGGGACCGTGGGGTAGGAGACGGACGAGGGGCTCGAGGCTGGGGACAGGGTGTCTAGGAAAAGAAGGGGGAGGTTGATGAACTTCCACGCTCTCACTATCCATCATCTAGGCCAGCTTTCTGAGGATCTGATCCCCGCCTAACCCCCACCCCACTGCCCCGGGCTTTCGCTGGGGAGGCTTCAGCGGGTGGGTAGGGCTCCCTTCCTGTGTCAGTCCTGGCCCAGCCCTCCCACAGAGACCAGGGTGGGGACATCTGGAAGCTCCCCCAGCCAGGGACTCCCCAGCTAAAAAAAAAAACAAAAAAACACTATACTCTTCACTCCATAAAAATCAAAACAAAATGGACCAAATCTTGGCCCTATAGAAAAGGGCCACCTCCCGAGCAGCCTATACACACGAATGCTCACAACAGCTTTATTCTTCATTGCCAGAAACTGAAGTATCCCACACAGACTTGCTTTTTTTTGCATCCTCCCTTCTAGCACTTTCGTACTTGTTAACTCAGTAAATTGCACCAGAAAGACAATAAAAATCCATGTGGGCAACCCAGAAGCACAACCCAAGAAAAAAAGAAGTTGGGCTTTCTTAAAATTAAAAACTCCTGCTCTGCAGAAGACACTGTTAAGAAAATGAAAAGACAAGGCACAGACTGGGAGACGCTATTTGCAAAACACACACCCAGTAATAGACTTGCATCCAAAATACATGAACGAGTCTTACAACTTGACAGTAATGAAACTAAAAAACTCAATTAAAAACAGGCAAAGGATCTGAATAGATATCTGGCTGAAGAAGACACACAGATAGCAAGCAAGAACATGAAAACATGCTTCCCATCAGTGGTCACCGGGAAACTGTGAATTAGAAGGAGACATCACTGTGCAGCTATTAGAATGGCTAAAATCCAAAAATCTGACACCATCAAACGATGGTGAGGAGGTGGAGGAAAAGATGCTCTCATTCTAGGGAAGCAGAATGGTGCAGCCGCTGTGAAAGACAGCTTGGCAGTTTCTTATGAAGCAAAACAGTCTTAAAGAATCACACTGCTAGATATTGACACACGGTGCTGGAGGAAACTCTTGAGAGTCTCTTGGACATCAAGGAGATCCAGCCAGTTCATCCTAAAGGAGATCAGTCCTGAATATTCATTGGAAGGACTGATGCTGAAGCTGAAACTCCAATACGTTGGCTACCTGATGCAAAGAACTGACTCCTGGAAAAAGATCCTGATGCTGGGAAAGACAGAAGGCAAGAGAAGGGGTCAACAGAGAATGAGATGCTTGGATGGCATCACTGACTCGATGGACACGAGTCTGAGTAAACTCCAGGACTTGGTGATGGACAGGGAGGCCTGGCGTGCTGCAGTCCATGTGGTCGCAAAGAGTTGGACCAGAGTTAGCAACTGAACGACAATAATAATGTTGACAAAAGTTATTTGAAAACGTGTGTCCACACAAAACCCTACGTGTGAATGTTTTCAGCAGCTTTATTCTTTTTAAAACATTTTACTGAAGTGTAGTTGATTTACAATGTTGTGTTTAATAACTGCCGTACAGAAAAGTGACTCAGTTATACACGTATGATTGTTTCGTTATGGTTCGTCACAGGATATTGAACGTGGTTCCTGTGCTATACAGTAGGGCCTCGTCCTTCATCCACCCGTATTCACTGGTTTGCATCTGCTAATCCCAACTCCCAATCCTCCCCCCCCCCCCCCCCCCCCNGTAACCACAAGTCTGCTCTCTACGTCTGTGTGTCTCTGTTTTGTAAATATGCTCATTCCTTGTCATGTTTTAGATTCCACACATAGGTGATGTCATATGATATTGGTCTCTCTCTTCATGACTTACTTAGTATGATAATCTCCAGTTGCATCCATGTTGCTCCAAATGGCTGAGAAAAATGAAAAAATTACTTCGTTTTTTAAAACGGCTAAGTAATATTCCAGTGTACGTACATATGTACCACATCTTCCTTATCCATTCCTCTGTCGATGGACGTTTAGGAGGTTTCCATGCCTTGGCTATTGCGGACAGTGCTCTAGCAGCTTTACATTTAATTGCCAAAAATTAAGAGGCCAAGAGGTCCCTCAATAGGTGAAGTCAGTTCCAAAAGGCACATATGTGGTTCTTAATATCTGACATTTGGAGAAAGGCAGAGCTATAGGTGGTAAAAAGATCAGCGGCTGGAGTGGGGATGGGGGAGGCAGGGTTGAGTAGGTGAAGCACAGTGGCTTTTTTGAGGTGGTGAAACTATTCATATGAAATAGTAATGGTGAATACACAACATAATTTATTTGTCAAAATCCACAGAGTTTGACAGTTCAGAGTGAACTTCAAGGTGTGCAAATGAACAAAAATAATTGAGGAGGCCCAGGGACCCCAGAATGGCACAGAGAATGCAATTATACAACCTAACTATATCACAAACGTGGGGAACATTTGTAGGAAACCTAGTTGAAGATGTTCGCCTGCACGACCTTGGAAATGCACAGAGTCCGTGAGTCCAGAGGAAAGGGGAACTGCACCTGGTCGCTGTCCGCACTGATAGGGTTGTTTCCGACGGGGCTCTGGGTGAGCAGCTCTGACGCCACTGTGCTTGCTGTTCTGTCACTCCATCGTGTCCGACTCTTTGTGACCCCGTAGACCGCAGCACCCCAGGCCTCCCTGTCCATCACCAGCTCCTGGAGTTCACCCAAACTCATGTCCATCGAGTCGGTGATGCCATCCAACCATCTCATCCTCTGTCGTCCCCTCTCCTCCCTCTTCAATCTTTCCCAGCATCAGGGTCTTTTCCAAGCAGTCAGTTCTTTGCATCAGGTGGCCAAAGTATTGGAGCTTCAGCTTCAGCATCAGTCCTTCCAATGAATATTCAGGACTGATTTCCTTTAGGATGGACTGGTTGGATCTCCTTGAAGTCCAAGGGACCCTCAAGAGTCTTCTCCAAGACACAGTTCGAAGGCATTGATTCTTCAGTGCTCAGCCTTCTTTATTGTCCAGCTCTCACATCCGTACATGACAATTGGAAAAAAACATAACTTTGACGTAGGCAAAGCAATGTCTCTGCTTTTTAATATGCTATCTAATTTTGTCAGAGCTTTTCTTCCAAGAAGCAAGCATGTTTCAATTTCATGGCTGCAGTCACCATCTGCAGTGATTTTGGAGCCCAAGAAAATAGTCTGTCACTGTTTCCACTGTTTCCCCATCTATTTGCCATGAAGCAATGGGACCAGACGTTATGGTCTTAGTTTTTTGAACGTTGAGTTTTAAGTCAGCTTTTTCACTCTCCTCTTTCACCTTCATCAAGAGGCTCTTTAGTTCCTCTTTGCTTTCTGCCGTAAGGGTGGTATCATCTGCGTATCTGAGATTATTGATATTTCTCCCAGCCATCTTGATTCCAGCTTGTGCTTCATCCAGCCCACATTTCGCATGATGTACTCTGCATATAAGTTAAATAAGCAGGGTGACAATATACAGCAGACTTGACGTACTCCTTTACCAATCTGGAACCAATCTGTTGTTCCATGTCCAGTTCTAACTGTTGCGTCTTGATCTGCATGCAGGTTTCTCAGGAGGAAGGTAAGGTGGTCTGATATTCCCATCTCTTGAAGAATTTTCCACAGTTTGTTGTGATCCACACAGTCAAAGGCTTTGGCGTCGTCAGTGAAGCAGAAGTAGAAGGCACTCCACTGGAAATGAAAAACTAAATGTTCACTTAATGATGGTGGATGGATGGTGGATGAATGGATGATGGGTGGATGGTAGATGGACAGATAGTAGATGGATGGATGGATGATGGGTGGATAGTTGGATGGTGGATGGATGGATGGATGGTTGGTTAGACGGATGGTGGATACTGTTGGAGTGTGAGCTCACGGATAAGAAAAAGAGGCTAGAGTGATCCATGAGGTGGTGGATTAGAGGTGCAGACATTTGCTTGAACTCATATTACCTTAACATAGAAACAGACAGCTGTATCTAGAAATACAGACACGTGTACGTGTACGGGTTTGTATGTACACATATACGTCTGCTCCATCAGCTGAGAGAGCCGAAGAGGAAAGATACTCCAGGGCATTTCCTGGTGGTTCAGTGGTTAGGATCCCAGGCTTTTACTGCCAAGTGCTCAGGTTCAATCTTTGGTTGGGAAAACTAAGATTTCGCAAGCTGTGGGTTGTGGCCCAAAAAAAAAAAAAAGGAAGGTAAAGAAACGATACTCCAAGAGCAGCCTCAAATGCTGGGAGGGAACAGTACAGAGCATCTCAGAATTGTTAGGACCCTGGGTAAAACACTCGAAAAGGTTTTGCCTCAGAACTGGGGCAAATTACCTCTAGATCAGCACTGCTCTGGTCCCATTTAGCAAAGCTTAACCACAGGACCTGAAAGGATCAGCATTTTCCACATTAAAACTTAACTGCCTCCCAGAACAGGATTTAAGAATATTTATGTAAATACAAAATATCCATCACCAAGAAAATCCACAATGTATGGTATCTAAAAATAAACTGTAAAAAAACATGCAAAGAAGCAGAAGAACGTGATCCATTCCACTCCTATTTACCCAAGAGAACTGAAAGCACTGTTCACACAGAGGTGTGGACATGAACCTTCCCAGCAGCTAAATCTGTAACAGCCAAGACCCGGAGACAACCAGACATTTATCAACAACGTGGACCAACAAACCTCAGTAAATCCAGACAGGGAATTTTAAAAGATGAGCTGTTGATACATGCTGTCAATGCAGATGAATCTAAAGATAGTTTGGCTGAGTGAAAGGAGTTAGACTAAAAAGAGAACAGGCTGTATGATTCCATTTATATAAAATTCTAGGAAATACAAACTGGCTGATGACAGAAAGCAGACCTGTGGTTACTTTGGGAGGGAGGGAGGTATGGGGGCGCGAGTGAACTTTGGGGTGTCAGGGCTGCCATTTGATTGTGCTGATGCTTCACAAGTCTCCGTGAGTGTGCGTATGTGTGCATCGATTGCACTGTTTGAATATGTGAAGTTTTTACGTCAGTAAAGCTGGCTAAGAAACATTGTGGGTAGGGCGGGAAATACAGACTGGCAGAGCAGTCTCACCCGTCCAATCTCCCAGGTATACAGTTTACCGTGAACACATTTTATAGAGGGCCCTCCTGTATCTGCAGTTTGCATAACTTAGAAATATCACCATTAGAGACAAGGATGAAAAACCGAATTCACAAATAAGAAATCATTTTATCTCTCAAATGAAGTGGTAACAATAGCAGTGAAAAATCTAGCAAGGAGACACAGATTTTACGGATTATGAGATGATTCTAAACGATCAAAAGGGTTAATTAACCATGACAAGGAGAACTGGAGTGAAGTAAAAATGGATGAGCACACACCCACCACCCTAGCGGCCAGCGGCCGAGAGTCAAGGACGTGTGTCTGGTCACTTTCTGTAAGCTCCCCTTTCTTCCTTCCTGCCGCGGTGCACACCCCGTCACAAAGCCACCGCAGCGCAGACCCCTGTGCGTGAGGTGAAGCAGGCTCCTGGGTCGCGCACTCTCAACCGCACTCTCCGTGACAGGTTTATCCGTGAACACGGCTGCCAGCACCGCCAGCCTCCCTCTCCCACCATCACCAAAGGTCAGCGCGCGGTCTCGGGAACATCTTCCCGGGGTGGGGACACGGGAGAAGACGGTGGGGGAGCGAGCCCTGGACACAAGGGGAGTCGTGGGGGTGGGGGAACACAGAGAACTCCCACCAGACGCTGCCGGGAGAAACTTCCCGGTTCTCCCAAGAGAGCCGGGCTCATCCACGCTCAGAGGGGTAAACTGCAAACACACCTCCTGGCCGGTTCAATCCTGACTCCTCCAGTCCCAACTCAACACTCACTCTTGCCAAGAAGGACCGTGGGGTCAAGTCCTCCCCAAAGGAGCCTCCTTTAAATCAGGGGTGCAGCTGACACCACATTATCCCAGCCTGGCTTTTGCTGGGAGGGACCATGCTGCAAAGCTTGAAGAATCTTAGCCCTGCAACCAGGGACTGAACCCATGTCCCCTGCAGTGGAGGCATGGAGTCCTAGCCACTGGGCCGCCAGAGAAGTCCCCGGGGTGGCTTACATGTTGCCCAGAGAGATGGACTGTGCCGTGACCCCCTCTTTCCCAGCGAGGTTACCAGACTAGACCCCACCTTTTACTGCTTTGTCTCTGCCTTGCCTGATGCCTGATGTAGTTCTTTGTTTTTTTCTACCATAACCGTCTTAAAATCCCTTTTATTTACAGTTTTAATATTTTTTTTACTGAAGCATAGTTGATATGCCACCTTGTGTTAATTTCCGCTGTTCAGCAAAGCGATCCAGTTGTACACATATACATACATATGTTCTTTTTTAAAATATTCCTTTCCATTACGGTTTACCATATGGAAAAGACCCTGATGCTGGGAAAGACGGAAAGTGAAAGGAGAAGAGGGTGGCAGAGAATGAGATAGTTAGATGCCATCATCAGCTCAATGGATGTGGATTTGCGCAAACTCTGGGAGAGAGTGGAGGACAGAGGAGCCAGGCGTAGTGCAGTCCATGGGGTTGCCAAGAGTCAGACACAACTGAACGGCTGAACAACAACGACAAATTTAATACAGTTCTCCACAGTCTGCAGTAGGGTTTGCTGGTTTTCCATCCTAAACATGAAAGTTTACAAAAGAGTAAGGAGAAGGTTCATATCCATTTCCAGACAAGAGAGTGATTTTTATTACAATAGGCATCTCTGCTTTAAAGAAACATAAACTCACAGCATTAAAAAAAAAGCAGTTGCCAGCTGAATTTCAAGCATTATGTGCCTTATGTCCAGCTTTTATAAAGAGGACACACCGTGAGATGCCGCGAAAGCCCAGCGGCACTGCATGCCACGCTCTCGTGGCTGAAGATTTCAAGGCAGAAAGACGTGACTTCTCCTCCAGGTGAAGAGAACACTGTTCTCTGCGGAAAAAACATTTCTGAGTAAAGCTTTCCAGGAAGTGGTACGCTTACCTGTAATAACAGAGCCATCTGATCCTGGACCACTTCCTAAGTACTGGTATTCTGTAAAACTGAAGCTTCCGGAACTGTCCTCCCCGATAGACTGAGAAATCTCTTGAATGGTTCCCATCTCTTGTAGGAAGTCTGCCGAGAGCGGGCTTTCCAGATCATCAGCCTCCAGTGGGGAGAGGGGACCGATGGGGCTCTCTGTGTCCACCATCTCCATCGGGAGGAGCTGGTCCCACTGCCTAGCTCCGATCTCCTGGGAGGAGAGAGAAGCCATCGGTGAAAACAGTGAAGGCCCGGAGGACCCCTGGCTTTCCTTGAGTGGAAGCATCACCGGCCAGTGGAGACAGACCTGAACTCACAATCGAAAGAGCAACATTGTCGGCCATCCTTCCTCTGCGTGACTCTTGATAAGCTCAGTAAGAAAAGGAACAATTTTATTATTATTTTATTTTGGTCAAGCGGCTTGCAGGATCTCAGTTCCCTGACCAGGGACTGAGCCCAGGTCCTTGGCAGTGACAGAACCGAATCCTAACCACTGCACCACCAGGGAAAAGCAAGGTCGCTCAGTCGTGTCCGACTATTTGCAACCCCATGGACTGTAGCCTACCAGGTTCCTCCGTCCATGGGATTCTCCAGGCAAGAATACTGGAGTGGGTTGCCATTTCCTTCTCCAGGGGATCTTCCCGACCCCGGGACTGAACCCGGGTCTCCTGCATTGCAGGCAGACGCTCTACCATCTGAGCCACCAGTGAACTGCCCCCAAAATGAAAATCTCTGAACAAGAGCTCGTCTCGAACTAGAGCTGACCAGGCCAGGAATCCCTCTGCACTGCTGCGCGCCCTCTGTGTATCAGAGGAAGATGGAAATAGCAGGAAGACGGACACAAGCTTAGTTCCCACTGCCCCAGGGCAGCCCTTCTGGTGGGGACACGTCTGGACTGTCTGGTGGGCATGCAAGGATGTGGGAGGAGGATGGGGAGGGCACGGCTGCCAGGGAGGGCTTCACTTAAAAGGGCGCAGACCCATGCAGGGACAAGGGAGAGAGCTGTGCAGACGCCTTGGGGAGAATGTTCCAGCGAAAGGAGTGGCAAGTGTGAAGCCTCCCAGGATGGATGCCTGCGGGGGTACTTGCAGGCACAAGTGGATCACTGTGGCTTGGCTGGGGTCCCGGGGGAGTGGGAGGGGCAGGCAGCTGGCAGGCACGCTGGGCACAACATTATATGTTCTCTGTGCACGTGGGATGCGTCGTGCAGGTAGGTATTCCTAAAGTGACTGCGCGGCGACAAACACATCTAGTGTTACAGAAATCGAAACAGGTCAGTCCCCGAGAGTGCTGGGCTGTTTTAGCTCACACACAGAACGCTCTCCATGTGGGCACTTTCAGGCTGCAGCGTGCCCCCCAGATTCCGGTGTGGGAGTCCTGACGCCTGTGCGTGCCTGCTCAGTCGTGTCTGACTCTTTGCGACCCAGTGGACTGTAGCCCACCTGGCTCCTCTGTCCATGGGACTCTCCAGGCAAGAATACTGGAGTGGGTAGTCATGCTCTCCTCCAGGGATCTTCCCGGCCCAGGGATCGAACCCGCGTCTCCTGTGGCTCCTGCACTGGTAGGCAGGTTCTCTACCACTGAGCCACCTGGGGAGCCCTAGGGCCCTAGAGTGGGGTTGCGTTTGGACATGAGAAAGGGGTGATTACATTAAGATGAGGTCTTCAGAGGGGGCCCTAATCCAATCTGGCTGGTGGAAAGAGACATGGGGGTGTACACGGGGGTGGGGGGCAGCCCGTGGGGACACAGCGGACGGCGGCCCTGTGACCCGAGCAGAGGGTAATTGAGAGGAACCAAAGCCGCCCACACTTCGACCTTGGACTGCGGGCCTCTCAGACAGTGAAAAGCAAACACTGTCGGGGGCGGCAGCCCGTGACCCGCCCCGGGGGTACAAAGTCACAGCACAGGTCCTTCCGTGCAGGCTGGCCTCACGCTGCTGCCCAAACCTCGGAAGCCACTTCCTGCGACCTTCAGACCAGGGCCCGGCCTCCCGCACAACGTGGGCCCTGGTGACACACCCTCCCCATCTCGCCCTGGTCACCCGCCCCCCCGCCCCTGAGACCAGCGGCACGGCTCATCACCCCGTCTAGACCCCCCAGGGCCAGTCCCGGCCCCCTGCCTGAACCGCACTCCGCTCCCCGCCTTCCCGAGGCCCCTCCAAGTTCACCCCCCAGCCCGGCCCAGTCCCTCCTCGCCAACGAGGCCGAGGAGGCGACATTCAGCTTCTGAAACGGCCTCAGGGAAGCCCACGAGCACGTCAAGAGGGGTGCGTGCCGCCAGTCCTGGCCGCGGCTCAGCGGGGCGAGGGCTGTGGTCCCTCCACGACCTCGGAAGGCTGGGCTCTTGGGACCAAGGAAGAAAAGAAACGAAAGAAAGGGAAGTTGCTCAGTCATATCCAACTCTTTGTGACCCCACAGACTGTAGCTTACCAGGGTCCTCTGTCCATGGGATTTCCCAGGCAAGAACACTGGAGAGGGTTTCCATTTCCTTCTCCAGGGGATCTTCCCAACCCAGGGATCGAACCCGGGTCTCCTGTATTTCAGGCAGATGCTTTACCCTCTGAGCCACCACGACCGTGGAAGGCTGGGCTCTTGGGACCAAGGGAGAGGACCCTGCCAAAAGCAGACCCGTGGAATGTACTTGTGTCAAAGCATTTCACATCTCAGCCCAGCTGCAAGGCAATAGCAGCTTCAAATGCAAAGATGAAGGGATCGTTTGCTTCCTTTAGAAATGAAAAATGGGTCCAGTCCACATGCTTTTGTGAGATTCACATCTCATGCCAGGATTCTGACAGTGAGTGATCATAGCCAATGATAATGCCACAACAAAAAAGAAAAGGGAATCATTAAACTTCCATAAGATTAAGAAGATGTTATCATCTTTTAAGGTAAATCAGACTGTGAATCTGTACTTTTTTATTATATTTTATATTGCATCATAATTGAATTTCTTCAAATGGCAAGTGAGATAAAGGGATTCCTTAAGATATTGTCTGGGAGGTCCCTGGTGGTCCAGTGATTGTGACTTCACCCTCCAATACGGGGGGTGCAGATTCCATCCCTGGTTGGGGAGCTAAAATCCCACGTGTTTTGTGGCCAAAAAAATCAAAACATAAAAGAGAAGCAATATTACAAATTCAATAAAGACTTTAAAAATGGTCCACATCTAAAATAATGGGGGAAAAAAAGAGATATTTTCCACCATGAACAAAAGGTTCCAAAGTGCAGTCATTAACTTACTACCTCCACCATAAGGTTCAACCTCAAAAATATACAACAGCCAGGCACAGGCCATGTTATCAATGGGGCCGTGACCACCTCCTCCTCTGCACCGTCATATTCTCAGCGCTGCGAGGAAAACACACGCGGAAGCAGCCTTGTGTTCCTGCAAACATCCTATCTCTCAACCAGGAGCACCCAGATCCGGAGGAACTCAACTCCGACTACAAGCAATGTCAGTCTCCCTGGCATTCCAACAGGGAGTTGGAATGCTCTGCCATCTTTTCGTTTTACCTTTCAGTTGCTTTCCAAGGGTACCTGAGATTTATGGAGAGAAACATCAGTGTTTCTGTTAATGAAGAGCTAAAGGATGTGAGAGTTGGACTATAAGGAAAGCTGAGCAAAGAATTGATGCTTTTGAACTGTGGTGTTGGAGAAGACTCTTGAGAGTCCCTTGGACAGCAAGGAGATCCAACCAGTCCATCCTAAAGGAGATCAGTCCTGGGTGTTCATTGAAAGGATTGATGCTGAAGCTGAAACTTCAATACTTTGGACACCTGGTATGAAGAACTGACTCATTTGAAAAGACCCTGATGCTGGAAAAGATTGAAGGCAGGAGGAGAAGGGGACAACCGAGGATGAGATGGTTGGATGGCATCACCGACTTGATGGACATGAGTTTGAGCAAGCTCCAGGAGTTGGTGATGGACAGGGAGGCCTGGTGTGCTGCTGTCCATGGGGTCACAAAGAGTCAGACACAACTGAGTGACTGAACTGAACTGAAATGAGATCCCTGGAAGTGAGGCAACACCATGACCTCTGGCCAGAGGACCGGCCGCCACACATCACTGGACACACTGGCCCTGGCTGCTTCCACCCTGAGCAGATAAGGGACACTGCCCTTCGGACGTTTCCGCAGGTAAAGTCGAGGCCGCGTGGCACACGCCCTACCCCGCTGGCCTGCGGTTCCTAGTAGCCTCTGCACATGTTGTCTCAACATCACTGTCACCTCTGCTCCGGGATCAGGAAGGTTACAGCAAGTCCCTGCCTCTGGAGCCCACAGAACACGGCTGCCGCCTGGTCCATCAAGATGGGCAACAGGCGCCAGTTACCATGCCCTGTCCCCAGGGTCCTAGGTCCTCCGGGGCTTCAGGAGGGAGAAAAAGATACCACCAATGATCTCTCAGCAGCTCCCAGTGCAGCCAAGAGGCAAGACATCAGGAGATGATGTGGATGGAAGTCAAACAGGCCTCAGTTTCTGGGCAGGGAGAAGCCAGGGAAGGAGCGGCGGGTGCTGAGGATAGGTGATAAAGCCGAGTTCCAACAGAGACGTGGGGGATGCACACTCCATCCCCCTTTCTGGACAATCCGTTCTGAGACTCGTTGGCTTTTAAATGCAACTTTTCTCATCCAACTTAAGTGTTAGAACTGTATCCTGTATATGAGAAACTCGAATGTAAACTGCTAAAGTTCTACTTTTAGTAGAACATTGATCTGTCAAAATATTGATGGTCCAGTGGTTAAGACTCAGCCTTGCCAACACTGGGGGTATGGGTTTGATCCCTGGTCAGGGTACAATTATATAACCCCACATGCCAAGCAGTGCAGTGAAAAAAAGATTTAAAACAAAATAAAATGAAAAAAAAAGAGAAATTAACAGAGTGAATCATAACCATTAAAGAAAGCCTGAGAGACGAAACAAACAAAAATCTAAGGACCATTGTCTGTTGCTGTTCAGCCGCTAAGTCATGTCCAGCTCTCTGCGCCACAGTGAACATAGTGAACGACAGAGGCAAGTGGGCAGGAAGAGGCAGGCTTCACACGGGGAGGTGGGCGGGTGGGTGCACCGTGCCCACGGCCTGGGCAGCCAACTGGCACACATCACCGGCCCCTCAGGAAAGGCGTGGACAGAGCGCCAGTCTGACTCTACTGGAGAAGGAGCAGCCAGAGAACGTGGAAAACGTTGGGCTGCAAACCAGTGCTTTGAAGAGAG